TATTTATTCAAAATAAGCTGAAAAATAAATATTTTTCAAATCAAATAAATTACAGTGTATTTGTAACATGAAAAGGAAAGTTTTACAAAGTTTCGTGACAAAATATTGTTTTTTGTAAGAGATAAAAATAAAGAACCAAAAACTTGGTTTTTCAAATTTTCACATAAATTTTGAGGTTATGTAAAAAAATGTTAGTACAAAAGTTTTAGATCTTTTTATTACCTACAACTTTGCCATATAACATTTTTCTGTTGGACTTTTAGTTTTGCCGGAAATCGAGAAAACCCATTTTTTACCCTTCAATACCCATCCCCATACCCTTCCCGACCTCAGATCGCCCGTAAATTATTTTTGATTTAATTTTTATAATATTCCCCTCCTTTTTCAATAAGTTTCAGTCTACTATAATTTAATTATTTTTTTAAAGCTATCGGCACTAGTCTATATTCCATATAAAAAAAATAGATTTAATAATTCATATACATACTTTTCATAATTTTTAAAAAATAATTTTGTTTTAAAATAGATATGCTGTATTCACTTTTGTTTTGTAATATATATGAAAGCAGGTAACTTGTTAATATGAGAGTTGGTAACGGTTGTCATGATCACATTATATGACCACTCAGCGACTCCTCACATCAATAATGTAAAAAATATAACATACAATATTTGTATGGTCGAAGTATACTTTCCCTCAGAACGGTCGTTGACCTGGTCCTAACCCTGTAGGCTTCTTGTACCTACCCTCTAAACCATCTAATCCAACATGATTCCCTTGTGGTGACTTCCTTGATTGTTTTAAGAGTCACGTGATGACACCAGTTCTCTGAATGTACATCACCCTCATCTCTCCCCGTCACTCCACTCTATTTATTTTCCTATGTGTGACCTTTCCTTATCGTTCCGAAGTATTCATCTCTAGTTACGAGTATAGTTAGCATTATATTATTTCGTAATGTCAAGGACGACATTTAAACGTTTATAATATTAATTAAGGAGAGTTCTAACCCCTCCCCCGGTTCATAGCAGCTTCACATAGCAATACCCTGACGTTCATTGACCCAATTAGTTTTCACTTGAGGGTTTTATAGATGACTCGCTGACATTCAACATTTGTATGATAGAGGAGTGTTCGATACAATGTATACGGAGATCGCTTATAGAACCGACCCGCGGGGAGATGGGGAGATCACGGCCGGAGGACGCGAATTAAACATCGCTAGGAAACTGGAGGAATTAATTAGATCCCGCTCCTGGGAGGATGGACGGGAGATGACGGCCCCCACCGGCACCAGGGGAGTGTGCGTCATTAGCAGTATGAAACTGATCTTCCGATCTGATATACTATGTTGACCTTGAAACAATAAAAATACCCTGAAAAATATTACAATAATATAAGGAACCGTTCAACAAACACGATGTTTACTGAGTAGTAGGCTGTGAATATTTTATGTGAGGTTTAGCACCAGGAGACGATGAATCTGTTAGACCAGACCACACGAGGATCATAGAGAGTTGCCAGGGTTGTATATGCTATAGTGGGGACGGTCACAGTGAGCTGTGTGTGTCCTCAAGATGTCACCACCGTCGAAGTGTTCGCGGCGTGACGACACACACACTATGGGGTGTATATACAAACATGAAACACGTCGTCGAACGAGCTATGTGAAAGTGTCGGCCGGTGTTTACACTAACATTGACTCCGCGTTCCGGTTCATTACATGCTTCATCGTCCGGTCCGGTCCGTACAGCTAGCCGTGTATCATGTTGAAGTTGAAATATCCCATTAGACTGTACATTGTGAGGAACACACTTGGCAATTAATGTTCACAACTATCCGACACTCAACGAACGTGCAGACGACGCCGGTGTATCTTACGTGTATATACATTGTTATATAAATGTATTAACAGACCGCCGCGCGCCAAGTCGTTACATTCAATTATATCGAATATACCAAACATGTGCTGCCAATTTATACCAGATTACGATGCGGCGGCTACAGCGGCGTCGCCGGTGTAGTACACGCACGTCCTGAGCGTGTGTGCGTGTGCCGCCTCCCCCCTCCCCCCTCGCCAGAGCTCGTCATAATGAACTGATCGGAGCGTAATATAACCGACCATTGATAACCACACTCATCCTAACCCATTCGCTCCCACTGCTTGTTATTTTTTCCTCTTCCCGTCTCCATGTTTTCCGACGCCAGCCAGCTTTTTCTCTCGTATCCGCGAGGGACCGTCTCATTTGCTCATAAAGCCGAGAGTCGCGGAGTCCGCGGATCGCCGTAACTAATATTAAATACGACTAATTAATTCATTTTCTTACGGTCTCTGTTTGTAATTGTAAATCGTCCCGGCTACGTTTATGGCCGCACATTAATTCTATTGCCTCTGTTTCCTGGAATATCGACGAGCCCATTCACATTCTGCGGCGAGCCGGCGAGGAATACGCTTTTTGTGTCGGATGCTGCATTATTAAGATATGTGTCGGAGTAAAAAACGTTCCAACGGACGAGCAGCATCACTAACAATGGCTACGTGATTTCCGTCAACATTTCTCGTGTCTTGTTATTATAACTTATGTCATGACCGGTCCTGTTCGGACCTTGTTTTTATCTGCGAGTATTTTTTACGAGTCTCCTCGTCCCTCCCTCCCTCCCCTTCCCCTCCCTGGCCCACACCCGTCTCCTACCTCCTCCTCACTCCTCGTGCTCAGTACGACGCGACGAAAGCGTTTTTAAGAGACATTTTTCTGTTCGTTGAGATTCAATTTCATTCAGTCAATTATTTTTGATATTTGTTTTAAAAGACTAGTTATGCAGTTGGATTTTAAAATAGATAACTATAATAAATATATATCCCACACTATGCTAACACTTTGTTTAACGATTCAGATTTTCCGTATGTTTTTGAACAAACGAATCCTGTTCTACAGACTAGTCTCTGTTACCCCCGCTGCATGAGTTCCTGTCCAAGGTCGTATTTTATAACTTTTCGTATCCACACTGATATATTCAGGTCCGTGTGTGTGGAGAGCCTGTTGAGACACGTCCAGGCGAAGGTCGGGCCCGGGGTACTCGTTGTATAGTCACCTACAAGATGGACTTCTTTATAGACTATCGAAAAATAATATATCGCATCAGGAAGGTATCAATGGTGTGTGTCTGTGTGACGTGTGTGGAGAGAGGTCGACGACCTGGCGCTCGTTCGTTATCAGTAATAGTTAACTGCACGTTGAAACGGTGTCATCTGAGATAGGCTGCAACACTGGCGATACTATACAATGCTAACGTTCGTGGTGCGGTGAGGTCTGAGTGGCTCCTGGGCCGAGTGCTCCGACCGACCTCCTGAATGATCCTTTAACAGGCTCCCTGCTGCGGACAGGTTGAGACGAGCGGCTAGTGGCTCTCGACCGATAGATTTACATATCTACTGTACTATCATATAACCATTTATATGTATTATCTAAGATAAGATTAATTATTATTAACGACTTATACTATCATAATAAATACATCTCGTATAGTCAAACGAAACAGTGTCACTGCTCATTCAACGTATCGGTCATGTGACGGTGGTCGGTGGGTGTGCGGAGTACGTGTGTTAAATATAATATAGAAGTATTTCACGACAAATCCTCGGCGAGAGTAACTCGCAACAAATGAGCATGAACTCTCGAGTGAAGTCATAGTTTATAGAGGAGGGAGCTGTGCGGGCGGGGCGGGAGGGGGGGGGGGCGGGAGTGCAGCGCGGACGCGGCCATTCACCCTCGCCGAAACCGGGTCGCTAAGGTTACCGCACGACACTGTCGTACCATTCGACGTATAGCTAGTTTAAAGAGATTCATTAGAACCGTGATCGACATATCCTTACGGCCATACAGTCGACTGTGGTCGTCGGCGAGATATCTTTAGCGTTCATATCGATTTATGACAACTAAAATAACCGCATCGGCGAAAGACACCGCTCCCACAGGTTGAAGGGCCCATTCAAAATATACGTCTGTGTGAGGCTGGGAGAGTGGGCGAACTACCACAAGTTGACAACCTTTGACTTGGAACGGTTATCGCGATATTACTATGATATAACACGCGACTCTGTCTGTATATAAACAATACTTGTCTACGTGCACCACTAGTCGACACCCGCGACTTCGCCCGCGTCCTTTGATATGATTACAAAGTTTTCCTATGTTCGAAATATGTATATACATGATTGAACACATAGTGCTATATGTAGTTGTATTTTATGATATTATATTCAACTAGAAGACCCGGCGGATTTCGTATCGCCCTATAATCAAGAAATATCTGTTACGTTTTTTTATTTATATTTTTGGAGTTTACCTATTAAAACCATAAATCTCTGTGTTTTGAAGTGCGACAGAATGATTGACATATTAGTTAGTTGTCAAATCTAATGTAAAAAAACGTTTGTATCAACAACTACTAATAAATTAAAAATTAATTATAAAAACATTGACCAGCGGACAAAATTGTGAATCTAAACCATTCCCAGATCCCTTTGAACACACACAAAAAATTTCATCAAAATCGGTCGTCGTTTGAGAGAAGTTCAGTGACATACACACTCACAGAAGAATTATATATATAAAGATTTAGATATTGTAATGTTTTATTATAAGAGAACAGCCAAGCGTCTTAGTAATAAGATCTGGTTGTAACAGTCAGCCGCTACAGCCTACAGGCCTCTATCACTCTGTGTGTACAGTGACAATCCAACACAGCGTCGTTGTAATGTGTCCGCGTGTGTCGCCTTTCATCTGTTTATAAAACTGTTATCTGATAACAAGAACGCTAATTATTAATCCATCCGTTCACTACACACACGTCGCGTGTCTGTCTGTCACGGTCCGTCCTTCACTGTGTTCTCGTACCACTAAATTCTTATCATATTTAACGATTCATTTATATTATAGAGCAAGCTTCCGTATTATATTCTAATGTGTATATAATATGTGCCGTATGTTTGTTTCAGGTGAATACTGTGCCGACGTCATCATGAAGTGGAATGACGTGACAGACATCAGTAAGTGGAGGTGTTCCCTTTGATACGTCATCAGATGAGCAGCAGTAGATCCCACGGGTCGATGTATGAAACATGTGTTCAATATACATACATATACAGGGTGACTGGTGAATTACTATCAATATTTAAGGAGGATACTCGGTACATGATTCTCATTCGAATTATGTAAAAAAATAGGTACTTAATTTTTGACAAAATTTCCGTATAAATAAATAAAGTGTTGACACGTTCCAAGTGTTCCAAGTGTGGACGCGTGCGGCGGCGTGCTGATACCACACCACGCCGCGGCACGCGTGTGTGTGTGTGTATACCTAATCTGTAGGGTGTTCACACGATGCGTAATTAATTACATAACTTTTGGTTAACTTAACTTAGAAGTTTATTAATATTTATGTTATATTAATTTTTATTTTGTCATATATGATCGTCAAATATCACGTCCTCAAGTATTGATAGTAATTCACCAGTCACCCTGTATATGTACTTACTCCCGCCGGAGAGGACCTCACCACTCACCGCTCATTGGATATTATTCTGACTTATTTTAATACATTGCGTTTGTCTCGTATCACTGTTGTCAAACACACGGAGTTCAGTCGGCCAATACATAGTTGGAAATTATTATAGTATCTATAATTGATGGAACTAAATATAGATCATTTCGTGTCAGTTGTTACGTGAAACTGATTTGGATATAAGGCGTCCTTTATAAAGAGTAATAGTAATCACTTTAGAAACGGATCAGGAGTGACTTTCTATAATAATTGAACTTTGATCATGAGTACGTACGAATTATTATAGGGAAAATAAGTAAACAGTTTATTCAACTAGATAATTACAAGAAGGCTTGGCAGGGTCAGGGTCAAGGTCAAGGGGTAATGTTACAACAGTCTCCTAAATGAGATGAATATTGTCGAGGCAATTTTAACACGTTTAAGATATTTTTATACAAAAAAAAACTTTGTGTGTACTGAAGCTTTCAAATAAATAACATTCGTATCGGCTTAATGTTAGAGTTCATGTTACTATGTATAATTGTGAAGAAATAATAGGTTCACATACAGTAATGAAACAGATTCAGGACTAGAGTTGGGAAAGATTATATTAATTAAAATCGAAGATATATATATGGTTAAAGATCTTTATTCTCATAAGAACATACACAGGTTCACTTACATGAGATTAAATAATGTTACACACATACGTTAATATTTGATACATGGAATGGCTAGTACTACTTAATATTGTCTAATATATATATTTTAAGTTTATTTTTAAAAGCAATGAAACATTTACATTCTTTTATGTAGTTTGGCAAATTCTTATATGTATAGTTTTACTCCATCAAAACGTATTCTTTTGTGTCCATACTTTAAGGTTCTGACTTTAGGTAATTCAAGTTTATGTCTGTTTCTTAAGTTATGCTTGTTTGATTTTTGTGTAAATGTTATGTTTGAATGAATACTTTTAGATAGTATCGTTGAAATTAAAATACATGTGTTATAAATATATGTTTGATTTAGGTTGAATAATTTTGATTTTTTGTATAGTTCTATCGATTCTATCCTCTTTATACTCTTTATCAAGTAGACTTCACTGGTGATGCGAGGGTCGGGGCTCGTGTGTGAGAGAGGGACTTGTCTTCCGCGTTAAATGGATAGGAATTATTGAGACATGGTGTTTTTTTGGCACGGACTTGTAGTTTGGGACAAGCAAGAAGTCATTTGGCTCACGAGTTAGGAAGCTGACGGCCGGTCGGTACTCACAGCAATGAAAAGAAACACACATACATACAATATATGTAACTGTGGGGGTCTGTAGTTGGTACCAGCTTAACGGGTTAGCTGTGGACTGTGGACGTCATACTTTAAACATTTAAAGTTTTCTATATACTTGATAACGACGGGAAGATCTCTAAATGCGAACAGTAATCGTTTGAGTGTTAAATCTGTTTTAGAGTTCGTACGTTGTACGTGTTAAGTCGTCGATAACTATTACATTAAACGTGTACCCGAACCTCTCGCTGGAGCCGTACTTGTAGGTATTTTGTTTTTATATATACGTTCCATGTTGACATTTAACATTACACAACGAGGATTAAACAAAAAATAATGTAATGTTTACCTATCTGTGCGTGACGGTCGGCGGCCATTTTGCAAGCGCCGAATTTATGGTTACATCATTGTGCAAAAAATCGCGTGCGCATTCAGTACGAGGAGTGCGCGGGGGACGGGCGGCGGGAGGGGGGGGGGGTACGCTTGAACGACCTTGGCCTTGCTCGAACCGAAGCCAAGGCGAGCTGAACGTCACGCCGCAATTATACATGCGCCCACCAGTCTACCGAGCGCGGCCGCGAGCTGTTGTTATAGTGAGAGGGGGGGGAACATACACACACGAAGAGGAAGAACTAAGATACATGTACCAGAGGCAACATACATGTGGTACTAGGACTGACGGTGACTAGAATGTAGTAAATAGTAATATAGACTGGAGTGATGTTGAGGCTGAGATCATACTCCATGCGAGGTTGTCATAATGTCTCCTTTCAAACCATCATTTATTACGATCGATTATAAAGTATGTACAGAGTGACTCCATGTACAGATGACGTGTTTTAAATCCATTTTAATTAATATCCGATGTCTAGTCGGTGGAAGCCACCACAAAGTATTATGAATTACATTCGACACGATATTTCATATAACATTTTAAATGTATAACCTCACACACAGTGTCACAGTACGATAACACTAGCCAAACCCTCATATTATGTACAGGCACATTTATATATTTTGCTCAACAGTCAACACTAACTTAACAAACTTATAGACATCTCTCTTTAAAACCGTTACTATTGTAGTTTTAGTGGAATGATTTATTCAAGTCATCGGACCTTGAGGCGGTCACTATCAGTACGAATGAAGTGCGTGTGTTGAGATGAGGGAGATCTCTAGTGAGATCGGTAGCTGAGGAGTCTTATTCAACAAAACATTTCCTTTGTACCTATACACGCTACGTATACATCGATCAAAACGCGTGTATTATAGTGTACGGTAGATAAATAACAGAAAACCAAACCATGTTCATATAACGAGAAATGGTTCATCGTTTCATTTGAATGTTGAACATTTCATTCGGTTACCATGAAATTAAGTAAACTGAGGTATTAAAAAAAGAATCATTACGTCAGAACAGAGTTATAATAATTTGTTGATAAAATCATCATTTTTGTTTGGTGATCTTCACTATACAAGTAACAGTTTTACTGTAATGCTGTTGAGCAGAACATGTAGGTGAACAGACAGACTTACACTTACACGCACAGACACACCTCAACACGACCATGACTCTCATTCGAACCTTCCACCGCTGTTTAACAGACTCCAAATGTAGCTTTTAATTGACAATTATATGTTGTTCCATAATACATATATTTATGAATGTACGTTTTTGTGTCTAAACTGTTTTTTACGTGTCGTGTTATATATCAGAGGTTAAACGAAAGCTTGTTCATCACTCGATCCATACGAAATAAAAAACGAAAAGGAATGGTTCCGACTTGAGGATAGTTTTTTGTGTGCCGTATAATACGTTGCATAATTTATGGCTTTAGGTTTGAAATTATAATACAGACTGCGCTCAATACAGAGAGCTGAATGAATATTATAAGTTATAACTGAATGTTAGGGACACAAACGAGACGTCGATGTTTAAAAGAATACTGCATCGGCGAGGAACCAGGTTTAATTTAAACAGATTACACTTAGTTCCTGGAACTGATGCTGGCGCGAGCGTCCCCAGTGACTACGGAATGAAATTGAATTATGTGGGAAAGTTATTTCAAGATGGTCTAGTTATAAGTACAGAACAGTGTTCCACAGTCTGGAGACGATCTCTGAAAAGCATGTCTTTCAGTCCTGGATTTGAGAGCTTTCGATTGTACACTTTAAATGTTAAATTTGAGAATATGTTAGCCAGCAGCATGGCTCTGAAACTGAAACCGGTGCACCTACCTCAGCCTCCTCCCCCCCCTCTTCCGCGGCGGAACAACAATAATTTGTATATTGCTTGGATAATTTACTTTTATTTGCACTGTGTGAAAAATTTGATGTGTGTCAGCGATGCGACAGGTCCGTGTGTGTGTGTGTGTGAGGGTGTGCGGCGAGGGCTTGTCTAGTAGTCGTCGATACGTTACGTAATGTACCGTCGAGTGTATCTGTAGTGAGAGCGCCGCGCTGTCTGCATCCTCTCCGTCCTTAGCGTCACAAGTTCAAGACCACCCTCCCTCACCCTCCACCCCCCCAGCCCGCTCACCCCGTCCGGAGGGTGTGTCTCTAACGCTCATGTATCGGTATGTTTTCGGGTCATAATGCCTTAACAGGGCAATGCTGTTCTCGCTCTCATTACGTCAAGTTAAACTTCTTCAGTAATAATAATACATCGATTTAGTTATATGTAATCAATTGACTCGAATAAGAAATCCACTGAGTCCTTTTCTACGCAATATTTGATCGTTCATATTAAACTGTCAGTTAATAGTCATTAAATGCTTCGTAGTGCCAGAGAGTGAGTGTGTACAACATTTCACATGCAATTGATTGAGCGTCCATGGAGGCCGGAGAGCGAGGTTCTGTTCATAACTAGTGATTAATATAGTGACTGTTTGTATGTGGTAGGTATGAGCGCCGAGTCGTGTGCGCCGCGCCCGCCAGCCCCGGAGCCCGACCAGCTGTACGACCACCACTCCTCGGAGGAGGAACTCGAGGTGACATACGCACACACACACACACATTCACACACACATTCACACGTAACCTGAGTATTGAAACACTTGTATGAACCTTCAAAACACCCGAGAACCTTCCATACAGAGGGTCTGTAAACAATTTGAAACGCCATTTAATATGTAAACTGTAGCGCAGCGTGCTCCGAGGACACGGGACTCACGGAGCATTGTGAGTGTTAGGACGACTGAGATGAGTGAACTGTTGACGAATAATGTATTTAATAACTAAAGCGGTCCAGTCTCAGGATGACACTATAATATAATGTATGCGAACAGATATATAGGTTTGATCACAAAACATTTTGAGTGTCATACAACAACATACAGTACGAAAACAAACCATCCACGTCCGACTCAGATGTTAGTTTTTTTAATACACAAGTAATATATTTATTTATTTTTCTTTTCTTATTGTCGACATCATTTTGATACTAAAGCAGGTTCATCATTCCTTCTATAGATATGTTCTTCCACAAAACTTATAGTTGTCACGGTTCGTTCTCTCTCCGCTGACATCGATCAGAAAGAATTCAACTGTCCGAAAATAATTGTTATCAATGGCGGCCCCGCCTTCGAAGAATCCCGAACTGATGTGACCAGGTCTGTAACGGAGGAATAATAAGCCTACAATAAGCTACACTCAATTCCAATACACCTGAAAGTGTAAATCGTCATATAGTCCATCAATATTGATAGTCGAGGGGCGAGGAGCAGCTAAGACAATCGGTTTCCACTGAGAATTGCTGACGCGGTAATTGCCACCACGGGCCGCGGTCCCTCCCTTCCTCACCCCACAACTCGGTGCTCGAAACCTGAATAAATTTGCGTTTGTGCATCTACCAAGTGAAATTGGCAAAATTGACGAAATCTCTATCTTAATGAAGACAGCGGTCTGCTCGGTTCCCCTCTTTATTCTTATTTATTGTCTTTTATCCGACCTTCCATATTATGTAATAAATAAAACGTCCGTATACACGTGCTACTTATGTTTAAATAGTAGAGGCGGTTGCAACTCTACATATGTATAAATGTGTCGGTTCCATGCGACTGTCAGTTGTCAGCCCGTCCTCCCTATATCTGCATGTATGTATATACGGTGAGCTCCTCACACGCCGCATTAATTCTCACCGACGCACCGCAACTAAATTACAACACCCCCCGCCCCCTCCTACAGCTCAAGGCAACTATAATGCAGACCTGGCATCCGTACTATACACTTCCTGCACGACGGAGGCAATTGGAAAAGGGTTGCGACGAAAGTAGTCGACTCACGGAAACTAGAGAACTGATGTTGGGTGAGAGAGAGTAGTACTCAAAAATGACACAGGCGGGGTCGACTTACTGAGATTATACAAAAATAAACAACGATAAGCTTTCTCTTTAATATAATTGGCCCGATTCAGACAAAAATAAAAGCAGAGTATTAATAGTGTCACCGTTTTTAAAATAATTATGTATGTGACATAAATTTGTCAAAATATGTTCAGTTTTCTGTGGAAGGGTCTCTAGTGACAAGTTAGTATTCCCATGACTTTGATGTATAGTATGAGTGTAGTACACAGGGCCTGAGACCGCTTCTGCCCTCAGGAAGCCGCTCCATATATTATTGTATCATATCATTACGAACTCTCTGTCACTCCACTGTGTGTTTTAATCTCAATGTTACATCTCTTCTCATTCATCAGATACGTGTGTATGGATGTGTGTGTGTGTGTGTGTGTTATGGATGTCCGTATAATTCTCTGTCCTGTACAAGTCGATCAATATACATACATATATGAACATCACAATAACAGACATGTTCTAGGCGGTGTGTCACCTCCATCAAGGTCGAGTCTTCCCACCAGCTCCTGTTCATCCATCAAGTCACCCGTCTTCTCGTATAGTGTACAGTATTCCTCTCGCCGCTCGTCCCCAGCACGTCTCATGTTTTTATTTCGTTTCCTTCCTCTGAACGGTCCGCTCCAAGTTTTTCCTTTTTCGTCTGTCGCTCACATAACGTTCGCTTAACTCGCGCTCGGCTGGAAATTATGCAATCTTTTGTTTGTGCTATTTTTTAATTGTAAGAAGTAAACGGACAATGGGTTCCTCAGGATGAGGGAGGCGGTGTATCCTCCGCTATGAATGCGGCCCCCCTCCTCCCCCGCCCCCCTCTCGACCCCCGGCCGCCTCACACGCGCTGTGTGCGTCCATTACTTGAAGCGAATTCATTCATAGCACTCCTCCCTCATACTTCTCTTTCGAGTTCGCCCGACCGCGACACTAAATATTTATTTGTTTATTGGACACAAACAGCTTACTTTACATTATAGAGTCCTCGCATGCGGATAACAGTTTATCAAAACAGTTTCCATTTGTATTTAATATTTTATATAACATGTACCTTTCTCCTAAGCGTCCCGTATGTGTCTACATTCATTTAGGTGTAGAACCGCCGTGCCGTCCGGAGCTTGCGTTCAGTCAGTTTAAAGTGACACGTTTTGATGTTAAGTCATCACATGGATATACCCGGCGGCGAGGGTATGCTTGGATAATTTTTAGCTAACAATAGGTAAAATTTGCAGTCGGATTAGTGTAGCCGGATGATCTCTTTGTGTGCCACTGAACCGTGAAATTCGGCCGAGACGTCCCTCCCCCCCTCCCTTCCCTCCCAGCGCCCTGTCCGTCTCCGTGATCGTGCAAGGCGTGTGTTCTTGTTAGAAGTACTCATTAGTCGACTCTGATATCAAACAATCCTGCTATTTTAAGTTAATAACAAGGAAGACCACAAAACAAAACTCGAATGTATTGAGACACGGTCATAACAATTTTCTCTTAACCATTTAACAACAGTATGACGGTTAAATGTTGTACTCTTTGACTATCAGTCGCGGTCGCTCGGTAGTAATACTTGTTAAAGACCATCCTCCCAGTCACAGCTACGACTCCTCGCCGTGTCCCTGGTGCTGTGTTCTTTTTCATATTCGTTTCATCCATAATAAACGAGAGGTCGGCCGCGATCCTTCTCCGGCTCCTTCGAGTTTTTTCTTTTTCTGTTTGTAAGGAAGGGGCGGACTACTCGCGGCATAATTCAGCCGTGTAATGACGAGATGCTTTGATGAAGGACAATTGCGAGTCCTGCAATTACGTACTGAAATAGTCATAGAAGACGGACGTCTCTAACTATTTTTTATATCCCCCACCACTACACATTGCGGCCTCTAGCATCTTTCTCGAATTTGTAATGTTTCTTCTCGGTTCTGTTGAAACGTTGACTCGTCCTCGGTCCTGTTAAGGACACTTAAATTCCCTCTCGTAATCTTCGGTAAATTGTTGTGTATCCTAAAAAAACTTGTTTTTTTAACTTCTCTACATTAAATTTTTAGGATTAAAAGGACGTTTACTAGGCAGGAGGGTCCGGCCCCTTATATTAGTACATGTTATACTACACAATATATCTCCATTAAAAGTACGTTTGATACTCACTACAGTACTGACAAAAACTGAGAGGTGAACGGTGGTGCAGGTTATAAACGGCAGCCCGGCGAGTGTTCCGGGCGCCGGGGCCGTGCCTGCGAGGGGCGAGGGCCGGCGGCGCGGGGCGTCCTCCCCGGCCCGCGCGGCGCCCGAGAAGAGGCGCTGGCCCGCGCAGCCCTACCACGACGATGAGGCGGCAGCGCGCGCGCCCTCCTCCGACGACGACGACACTAAGGTCAGCATGAAGCGATGACACAGACAGAACTAATATTTTTTTAATTTTATTTTAGCGAAATAAACAATAAGATAAACTTATAGGATATGAATATACAAAATTACATATATCAGGTATGTTTCTACACATATAAAAACGTATACCGACGAATTTCTTCGGCAGTTATGAATAAAATCTAACATACATATAATTAAACGAAACAAAATTTAAAAAAAAAGAAGTAAAAAAACACATTAAAAAAAATTTAAGGCATTAATGGCTACATCGTTTAGTTAAATTAAAGGCAAAACATTTATACACGTCAAAACAAACTATACTATACATAAATTAATCTTATTAACTTTATTTTTAAAAGAATACATTTTTCGAATAATATATCAATATCTGAATAAACTTAATTATAATGTTGGCAGCTACGATATAATATGTATGTGTTAGCATCAGTCTCCTCAACAATATCTTGCTGATCATATTCCAGGTGGAGACTCCTGTTCGTTTCCGCACGTCTCCGCCGCTGGAGGCGCTCAAGCCCCGCCGTTCTGTGGGTGCGGGCGGTGAGTGGTGCGGATGTACGCGCGCTCCTTCCTCCCCGCGCCGCCGCCGCCTGCCGCTACCTCCGCCCCGGAGACACAGACCCGCGCTGGACTTTGATAAGATGCAGCAGGTGAACACACACACAAACACCACACACACACACACCACACACACACACACACCACACACACACACAAGCTGTATACATGTGTGTGTACGTGCATACACTCTCACTTATGTATATACACTCTGCATCTTTACCTACAAATAGGGACGTGCACAGAGATTTCGGGTAGAGTACGCAGAATAAGTTTAAAAAAATACAAATTTTTCTCATAATTTCCTCCTATATTGATTAGCTTTCCGCCCGCAGCTTCGCCTGCCTGGAGTTCGGTTATATCGCGTTTCCAAGAGAATAAAAGTCTGGGATCAAAACTATGCTATTTTCTTTCTCAAGGTCAACTCTATCTCCGTACCAAATTTCATTAAAATCAGTTCAGTGGTTTAGGCGTGAAAGCGTAACAGACAGACAGACGAACAGACAGACAGAGTTACTTTCGCATTTATAATATTAGTAGAGATAATGAATCTTAAACTTTAGCTAGTATACATTTAAATGGAACTAATGTTACATATTATATTTATATATTTAATTGTTTTTAACCGGCATACGAGATGTGTGCTATGATCACGGTCAGTGTAAATTAACCAAAACGTCGAAAAAATGTTACCTTTTTGAGTTAAATCTGAACTAATAACCCACCTTCCCTTTGTAGTTGTTTTAATTTTCTCAAAAGAAAATGACAAATTAAAAATCAAACGTCAATTGAAAATGTACTCTTAATTACACTGGTCAACAGTGTTTTGGTCACATGAACTTTGTTATCATTTTTATATGTTGGGGTTCTCTTATTAAAAATATATAACAGTTTTGTTTCTACCACATCCGGTTTTCTTGTGACAGGTACATATTCATTTCTGATACCACATACATACGTTTCTTTATTTACATAACTGCATTTAGTTGTCTGTATAACTATTGTATTTGCTAAATTACATTTTATTAACGTTACTTAGATGATAGATCGTAAATATGCCAAGAAGGTTTTTAAACAAGCCAGAAAATTTTTGTTTTGTGTGGGGAGAGTTAACTTTTACATCTCAGCATCGAAATTTCACATTACTAATTGAACAGTGCTATTTAGACTTTTTTGGTTTTCTTTTAAGGAATCAAGATAAATCCTTGGTTCCATACAGTGGCGGCTGGTGGGTTATCAAACTGGTGGTGCACTTTACTAAAATATTAAAAATAGAAAATGCAACCACACAACAATTGACAATAAATATGTTTATTTTTCTGAAGCAAAATGTTCAATCACTTTTTTATTAAAATCAGATATTGTTTGTATAATTATAATTTAAAAAAATATTTTTTTCAATACTACGCACAGAAAGTGCATTTAGCAAGTGCATGGTATTTCGGAGAAAAGTTTTGATTCTTTTCAATTCCAATTCGCCATACATCAGGTGCTCTCGGTAATCTTCGGCGCCGCTCGTGCGGCGCTCGAGAACCGACTCATTACTCGGTACATTTCTATGAACTATCTTTTGTTTCACGCGTCAGGCGTATTAATGCGTATCTCATACAACATGTATTAGCAGGCCTCGTGCACTCGCCGAAGCGCACGAGATAATAGTTTAGTAAAGCGCTCAAACTTTTTGACCATAATTGGAAATTTTGTTTTTATACGTTTTTGTATGTTTAGAAAATAAATATTAAAATGGTAATTTAAAAATAAAGTTGAAGTAATATTTTGTAATTTTTAAATCTTTTGAATTGGTGGTTCAGCGCACGAGTGCACTTAAGGTACAGCCGCCACTGGTTCCATATAAATGTTGTGTAATATATACCAATAGCTATACAAATGATTTGGAAAGGTTCATGTAAAAGATTGTAATTTTTGTTTAATTCAAACAAAAGGTATTACTAAAAAATCCAAGCACACTATCCATTATCCAGATAAGAGCTTTGAATAAAAACTTAATGATCAGGAAAAAACTCCTGGAAATGTTTTGTGAATATTGTTCAAAATTTTCTAAATAAGCATAAAGCGAAAAATTATAGCTTCAATAAATGAACTTATGATTGCATTTAAAGCTTTGGGATGTAATATGTTCTTGAAAATACATATGCTGGACTCTCATTTGCATTTCTTTCCGGCATATTTAGGAGTTGTGAGTGATAAACAAGGCCAGAGGTTCCATCAGGATATTCCCTAAATCAAAGGAAATAGTGACCAAGAATGCTAGCAATTGTTGGAGACTTACGTCTTAAGAAAAAACGTTTTAAGAAAAGGGACCTAAGAAAAGCCAAATAATCAATAAAATCATAAGTATCTAGTAGATATTAGGAAATAGTTCTGGAAATGTTTATTTCTGTACTTTTTCGGAAAATATATGTTTTGATGTCACAAGAAAACCTGATGTGTACAATTTTTTTTTCATTGATATATTATTGTTTGGTATATTCAAAATTTGATAAAAATTTTCGTGTGACCAAAAAAATTACAAATTTGTTGACCAGTGTCATTTTCGTTAAACACATCACCAGTACACAACTCACTACTATAATTTTCCATAAATCGTTAATGAATTCACTCATTAGCGAAAAAAAATGAAAAATAGCAAAAAAATGGTTCTTGCGCTTAAAATGGCGAAAAAATATTACAACAGTATACTAACAAATTAAATAGTCGCTTTTCATTTGACAGTTTCTATGACGTTTTGAACGAGTTAGGTTTAGGAAGCAGTGACACTCGAACACTAACACATGCCTAGTTTTTGCACTCAACATACAAATATTTCCTGCGTACAACACGAAATTTGTTGATCGTCCTTGAGATTATTTATATTGAATACTAGTTTTTGCCCGCGACTTCGTCCGCGTTAATTTCATCATCTTCTTCTATATATATAAAAATGGATTGCTGTTCCTTAATCTCGCTTAAACTCGAGAACGGCTGAACGAATTTATATTATCTTAGTTTTGAAATGTTCGTGGAGGTTCAGGGAAGGTATAAAAGCTGAAAAAAATTAATTCACTACTGGGAAAACCATAAAAACAGCCCTTTTCTATTTCCCATACAAACGATTTTTTTGACATTAGATTTGACAACTAATATGTCAATCATTCTGTCGCACTTCAAAACCCGCAGATTTATCGCTTACAGGTAAACTCCAAAAATATAAATAAAAAAACGTAATAGATATTTCTTGATTATAGGGCGATACGAAGTTCGCCAGGTCTTAGTAATATATGTATAGCTGACCGGGCGAACTCTATTCTGTCCTAGAGGCAATAAATAATCAGGTTCTTCCTGTTTCAATCGAACAGAATGATTGACATATTAGTTAGTTGTCAAATCTAATGTCAAAGAAAACATTTGTATAGGAAATAGAAAAGGGCTGTTTTTAGGGTTTTACCGAAAATTAATCAATTTTTCTCACCTTTTAAACCTTCCCTGAACCTCCACAAACATTTCAAAACTAAGACAAAATAAATCCGTTCAGCCGTTCTCAAGTTTTAGCGAGACTAAGGAACAGCAATCCATTTTTATATATATATAGAAGAAGAAGATATGCACCGACTCGTTGTGTCTACCACCGCTCTGTCTGGGAGGCGGCGCTAGCAGCTAGCATACGACGATCAAAAATGTTACTTTTTACCTTGATAGATGGCACTATAAACAATTTTAACAAATCGTAAATACAATTGTCATTTAAAATGCATTAGACGAGTACCGATAGCTTTTAAAACATAATTAAATTATAGTAGAATGAAACTCATTAAAAAAGGAGGGGAATATTATAAAAATTAAAGGAAAAATAATTTTCGGGCGATTTGAAGTCGGGAATGGTATGGTGTTGGGTATTTAAGGGTAAAAAATAGGTTTTCTCGATTTACGGCAAAACTAAAAGTCCTACGGAAAAATGTTATATGGCAAAGTTGTAGGTAATAAAAAGATCTAAAACTTTTGAACTAATATGTTTTTCACATAACTTGAAAATTTATGTGATAAATTTGAAAAACCAAGTTTTTGGTTTTTAATTTTTATCTCTTATAAAAAACAATTTTTTGTCACGAAATTTGGTGAAAACTTTCCTTTTGATGTTGCAAATGCACTGTAATTTATTTGATTAGAAATATTTATTTTTTCAGCTTATTTTGAATAAATACCGAAAAATTAGGCTCATTATCAATCGAAAAATCACCCGTTAAAATATCAGCTATTTTCAAAAATTTGGTATGTTTTCAATTTGTTGAAATCGCTTTTTTCCGATAGTGAAGAAAACATATATAAATTTCTTACTTGCAGTACCATTTTTGGATAAAATAATGATGTCCCTTTTAATAAAATGACATTCGATATCGTTTGGCAAATGCTCTTTCAATTTATTTTTAATAGTTTTAGCAGCTTAATGTCAATTTTCCGTAAATTACCTAAAAGAGGGACTATCTGGAGAACTTCCAGAGTACACAACTATTAAAAATAAATTAGAGAGAGCATTTTCAAACCGATGTCGAGTGTCATTTCATTAAAAGAGACATGATTATTTTATCCAAAAATGGTATTATAAGTAAGAAACTTATATTTATTTCTTCACCATCGAAAAATAGAGATTTCAACGAACAGAAAACACACCAAATTTTTGAAAAACGCTGATATTCTGACGGGTGATTTTTCGATTGAAAATGAGGCTGATTTTTAGGTATTTATTCAAAATAAGCTGAAAAGATAAATATTTCTAATCAAATAAATTACAGTGCATTTTAACATCAACAGGAAAGTTTTCACCAAATTTCGTGACAAAAAAATATTTCTTGTAAGAGATAAAAATAAAAAACCAAAACCTTGGTTTTTCGATTTTATCACATAAATTTTCAGGTAATGTGAAAAAAGTGTTAATACAAAAGTTTCAGATCTTTTTATTACCTACAATTTTGCCATATAACATTTTTCATTAGGACTCTTAGTTTTTCCGTAAATCGAGAAAACCAATTTTTTACCCTTAAATACCCACGCCCGTACCCTTCCCGACCTCAGATCGCCCGTAAATTATTTTTCCCTTAATTTTTATAATATTCCCCTCCTTTTCTAATGAGTTTCATTCTACTATAATTTATTTTCACTTTTCATCATTTTCAGAGGCATCTGCACTGGGCTATATGTAAACATTCATATTTCGTAATGTGGAGTTAATAGTATATAAGTAGGAATTAGTAAGCAGTATAGTTTTAGTTGTTGTATGGGTAGGAAAAGCAGTGATTATTTGCATCTGTTGTGTGCACACCACTGCGTACAAACACACTGCCAGTTTACGTCCAACACTCTGCATCTTCACGTACACACAAACTGCCGCTAAACACGTTCCATGTATGTTTACACACAATGTTCAAACCTCCTCCTGTCCTGTCCCCAGCTGAAGGTGGGCGGCGGCGGCGCGCGGTCGTGGCGCGCGGTGGGCGGCGGCGCGCGCGGCGGCGAGCTGTCCGTGTTCTGCTGGTGACCGGCGAGGGCCGCCGGTCTTCGAGTTCCTTTATTGCACTCAAATAATGATCAAAGTACAAACTAATATACACTGGAGCGAGCGAGCCGCGCCGCCCGCCCCGACGGAACCTAGTTTTTGGAAATATTTACTCCTTTTGAATACCGTTTTAACGATCGCCGCTCGCCGCGGGCGGAGGTGGCTCCGAGCCACGCCTTGATCTCTGTCAGTTATCGTTTATACTGTGAATGTCAATTGAGACGCTCGACGTTCGTGCATGTCATGTATCGGTTGTACCTAGTTATTAATTATGTTAGTAGTTTGTTTAGCGGCTGATCGATATTCTGTTAATGTTGTTGTGTTACAAACGAAAATAAGAAAATGATAAAAATTGTGGTGCGAGTGTGGATACAGTGGATCTAACGATATAGAGACATTAACAAATTTTCAAATCGATACGATGGAAGTACTAAGACTTTTTTTAAAATCGCTTGGATAAAGATCGTATGTACATAGTGGTAAGTTACGTAGGGTTTAAGTGCAGTCTTAGATGTAGTAGGTATAACAAATTGTATGGCGAGCGAGTCCTCGGCTCGCGTGCGCGGGCGGCCGGTCCAGTCCATACATATCACGCAGGCCGACCGCCGCCCTCCACTTACTATATTATTTATATTATGTTTTTATATACTGAATTAACAAGCGTAATAAAGAGTGAGCAAACGGCACATCCTCACCCTTGTTTTATTACTACACCCCCCCTCCCTCCCTCACAATGAAACAGCCGTCCTTGTAATCTAGAGATTTATTTAATTCACAATGTTACATACAATATAAAACTAAATATCTATCAGTCTAAACTCATTGAACTGAAGTCTTTGAGAATGCATTTATATAATCCTTATCACATAGTCCAGCCAAAATAGACAAAAATAAGTCATAACTTAGCAAAAATTCGCATAGAGCTGAAAATTGCCACAGACGTTAAATACATCATTATAAATGAAATATCAAAAATCCCCTTCGATCTCACTTCTGCAAAAAAATTAATTCAAGGTCAAAAGTATAAAATTAATGTTTTTTTCCATTTTTCTCGAAAACAATAAGTATTATCGTAAAAATAGGTCGGACAAAAGTTGTATATCATACAATTCTCTACAAAAATGGTCTAGTAATTTTTTCTCTTACGACTCACCATTCATGAGATATCGCGGTTTTAATCATTAGAAAATTCATATTTTACATAATAACACACATTTCCGCGCCATCTATAAGGTAATGTACTTTGCGCATTTTTTTTAACTTGGTTTCCCCAGTAGGTATACTCCACGATCTATTGTAATAAAGAAAGTTTGATCAGATCGTATCCTATCAATTGAAAGAATAGTAATATTGCTAAAAAACAGTCCGCGACAGTATATGTCTATTTTTTAAGATTGACTCACAAAAACCGTTTTTATGGTACCTAATTTGTTTAAGTTGTTTCAACATTAATCTTTATTCAAATAAACAAATAAATATGTTGTTGGTTAAGAGTACTTCATTCAGAATTTAAAAAAAACATAGGTTTTATAATGAAAATTCTACGGGAACTCGACCATTCCGAAAACCCCGCAAGAACGGGAACTATGTGGGAAGAACCAAAAATCTGCCGGAAGTCACTATTCCACACGGACGAAGTCGCGGCAAAAGCTAGTATAAGATAATTGTCTATTTTTACTTCTAATGGTGAGTCGTAAGAGAAAAAATGACTAGACCATTTTTGTAGAGAATTGTATGATCTACAACTTTTGTCCGACCAATTTTTAATATAATACTTACTGTTTTCGAGAAAAATGGAAAAACCCTTAATTTTATACTTTTGACCTTGAATAATTTTTTTTGCAGAAGTAGATTCGAGGGGGATTTTTGATATTTCATTTATAATGATGTATTTAACGTCTCTGGCCATTTTCAGCTCTATGCGAATTTTTCCTTAGTCATATATCTATTTTGACTTGACTAATAATTCACATTCCGCGAGGAAATATTAAAAGTAATAATGTATTAAAAGGACGATTACAGTCCGCATGGATTATCACATGGAGAATAAAAAGCGTCCGCATCTAACATGACACGTAACTGCATACTGAGCGTATGGCTGTGATGTCTTACAACTAATCTGATATGACGCGTCTACTCCTTCCTGGTGACGGAGAAGTATTTGAGTAAGGTCCTCGTCTTGGGTTGCGCACGCGGCGTCTTGTCGGTGAGCGAGTTCCTCCTCGGCGGCGGCTCCTTGGGGCTGGTGGGCGCGGCGTGCTTGTCGTTGTTCTCCTTGCCCCTCCTCTCCCTCACGATCCTCGTGAGCCAGTCCGTAGTGTCGGCCTTCTTCTTCCCCGGAGACATGAGGCGGAGGTGCGGCGCCTCTCCGTCCATCACGAAGTCGGGTAAGTTCTTGGTGGGAGTCGAGAAACTGACGATTCTGACTTTATGAGGGGAGTCTTTACTGGGGGTCTTCAGCAGCACCTGCGGCGGAGACGCGGAGCTGGGGCTCTTCGGGGAGAGAGTCTTACAGGTTCTCTTGTCGTAGTTCTTGGTAGGTGTCATGAAGGATGAACCCGCCTTAGGGGAGAAGTACGCGAAGTCCGCGGGCGCCGCTTCGGTTTCCGCACGTTCTTTCTTGGACGGCGGCCCATCCTCGCCACAGTCCGCCCGCCTCTTCAGGTCGGCGGGGCGCGGTTCTTCTGTCCGCGGCCTCTTGCCGGCGCCGTCTTCGTCTCGTTCCCTCGTGGCGCCCATGAGCTCCGCCAGACATCTCTTGGAGGCCTTGTGTCGCACGCGGTCCCCACCGGTGGAGCCGGGCGCCGCCGGTGTCCTCCTGGCGGAGGCGGGCGTCCTCTCCAGCGCCCCCCACAGCGGTGTGTCCTGCTGGTCGCAGGGCGCTCGCTCGGCGCGGCCGGCACAGTCCTCGTGTTCGCTGCGCTCCTCGCGGCCGACCCTCCAGATCATGTGCCGCGCGTCGTCGCTGCAGGTGACGAGGCGGAGGTCGGGCGCGCGGCCCCAGGCGGCGCAGGTCACCTCCGCGCGGTGCCCCGCCAGCCGCGCCACGGGCCGCGAGCGCCGCACGTTCCACACGTAGGCGTGCTTATCGCTGGAGCCGCTCACCAGGTATCGTCCGTCGGGCGAGAGGCCCGTCTTGATGTAGAAGGTGCTGTTCTCGTGTCCCACGTAGCGTCTCTCCGGCAGCGCGTTGAACGTGGACACGTTGAAGCAGTAGATGACGTCGTCCATGCAGCTCGCGTACAGCCGCACGCCGGCCTCGTCCACGATCAGGTTGGTGTATCCGTTGCGCGCCGAGCTGCCGCAGTAGGGGATGGAGTGCATGGGCAGCGGCTCGCGGCGGTAGGCGCCGTAGCTCTTGCGCAGGTCCCAGACCTTGATGTTGCCGTCGCACTCGCCGCAGGAGACGAGCGTGCGGTCGTCGCGGAAGGCGAGGCCGGTGACGCTGGCGGCCCGCTCGGGCCGCGGCCGGCGGTGGCGCGGCGAGGGCGCCGCGTGCACGGCGGCCAGCACGTCGTCGGGCCTCAGCACGGCGGCGGCGGCGGGCGCGGCTCGCACGTCCCACAGCAGCACACGGCCGTCCCGCGCGCCCGTCGCGAACACGCACGGCTCGCGAGGACGGAAGGCTGCCGTCTTGACGGAGCGAGTGTGACTCGCGAACACCAGCACGCGATGCGGACCAGCCTCGCCCACATCCCATAAACAAGCGGTGTGGTCTCCTGAAGTTATATGAGATACATTCATGAACAATGAGTTGATAGATCTATATCTATATAGAAGTTATAGTGTGTCTATACACACTATAACTTCTATACAGATTAAGACTAGTTTCTATGTACAATGAAATAATATTACATATAACATTTAACCTGTCTCACACAACCTCACATGATTAATTCAAATTGAAGTTCATGTTTTTTTTTTTATTTATTGGAATCACAAACAAGTTTACAAGTTTAAGCTTAATTAGTACATATCAGTTATTGTAAACTCAACAACGATGGACACGTTATACATAACAAAACAAAAATAAAAGTGAACCTGTTGAAGAATTATATATTAACAAATTCAAACAATTAAAAATTTAATTATTACTTATTATGGTGAAAAGATATGACAGATGAGTTTTATAGAAAAACAAAAAAATTTAATATAAACATTTTGTTCAATATACAAGTACAAATAGACATACATATATGTTTATATACGAGTATAAATAATATAGGTATATATTATAATTAAAATATATAATAAACAATATACGAGTATAAATAAACACATACATACAATACACTTATTATTAAGAAGCACATATATCTAATTATTTTTATGTGTTTAATATGATTATTATTATAATATTGGAACAGCAAGCGTCCAAACTAGAATGAAGTGTGTATGAGCGTATGTCTGTATTTAAATTAAAACTAGGAATTACTATTCCTTATTTAATACATCAATAAATTGTTTTTTATAAGCACTACTACAGTTAGTGAAAATATCTAAATTGTAAACATGTTAAACTGTTACGACTACTCCACTATGTTAAGACCTAGTATCTTTCCAACAGCAGGTAGTTGACGGCCTCACCTGAGACAGTAACAAAGTTCATGTGTAGCGGCCTCCACACCAGGTCAAACACTGCATTGTTGTGACATTGGAACCCCTCCAGCTTACTAGCCGCCTTTGGAGTACTTGTGTCCTGAAAATTATACAAAAACATATTTTAAAGACCGTAACATAATAATTTATTTATTTTTTATGGCACCCAATTCTAAAACTAAAAAATAATGTTTTCGTTACATATAAGTTGCATGAGGTGCAACAGGTGAGGTGAGGTGCAAATTTAATCAAATGATAACTGTTTGTCAATAACGTACACAATAAATGGTTTAGGAGAGATATTGGTATTAATTTTAAAATAATGATATTGCTAATATGGCTTCCAGTACAAAATAAACTGGATAGAAAAAAAAATCCCCTATTGCTTTACTTTCTTAACTAACTAAGAGAACCTTATTGCTATAAATGGAAAAATCAACTTTTTAAGAAAAATTACTACAATTATAGTTAATACTTTTCTCAAACATTGTAAACAATAAGTAAGTTAAAAGCCAACCTGTATAGCGACGCGTCCATCCTCATTAGCAAGAGCAACAATGTGATCGTAGCCTGGAGCTTCAGAGAATCGACACGCGAATATTGGAGGGTCCTGTTCAAAAGTAGCTGGTAAAGACGCGCTCTGCAGCCCGTAGAATGATTCCTCACTATTCACTACTAATCTTCTCAACACATTGTCATAATTAAAGCGAGAATCTAGAACATACGAAGAATTATTTAATGTAACTTTTAGATATCGGAACTTTTTTAACGACAACTAACACTTACAATTCCCCAATTGACGATCAATTATAATCTGAACATCATTCATTTTCCCAATGAAATGAAAGACATTACAGAATGATGATAAACAATGTTTCTCAAAATTCTTCAATCTTCAGAAAACAATTTACCGCTTTTACCCGCAATTTTTTCGGTTGACATTTGACACTTGACACTTCCTACTTGCTAGTCGAATCTTTTATAATTAAGCATAACTAAAATTACATCAGGGATTACACTGTTCGTTAAAAATTGAATTTCTTAAATTTTTCATCATAAAATAATATGTGAAATGGAGTTCATTTTTTTTACTATATTTAAGTATTATTTTAAAAACATTCTTATAACTTCTGTCAAAAATAAGGAATGGAATTTTTCATTAACTGTGACGCTTGCTTTGCTCTGAACACTAGTGTTGTAATAATGTTTCTTTCAATTATTTCTCGCTAGACCAATATAAATTAGTTTTAAACGCGAATGACTATTATTTGTATAGTATTACCTGTAACTTAATGAAAGTTATCTATCGTTAGGATAGCAAAAGTAAACATATAGTTCGAAAACCTATATGGGTCACATATTTACTCCGGTTTCTATAATTTAAAAAACGTTCGTTTAAATTATATTTATCACTATATTGGCGTGGTCATCTGTAACAGAAAGAGCCTCAGTTGTTATTTCGTTTACAAAGGTAGTTATAAAAGTGAGTATCGTACTTGAGTTTAGTTTATGTATCTAGTGAATTGCATACGGCGTCACTGTGTACCGATCACTTATAAAATTTGGCGACAGCTCGGTCTAAAATGCACACTTATAATTTACTACCAATTAGAATCGTAAAACTGAATGTAACCGGTCCTATACGAACGTTGCAGGTGCATGGAATGTGATGACAATGGGCGAGAGCGTCCCCCCCCGGCGACGAGTGTCAGCCGTGGGGTCCAGCGGGCGCGCGCCGCGGGCAGCAGGCGCGGCCTGCAGCTGGCCTACCCTCGCGCCGGCCGCCCCGCGCGCGCTCTGGAGACTCACACGTCCGCGGCCACCACCGCGACACCGGGACATCCCTTTATGAGCAACATGGATGAGATATCGTACTGGGTCTACACGAAACGAGCACCCTGCCTCTTCAACTACGATAATGTACTCAAGAAGCAAGTGGAACAGGCGCACTGTTCCAAAGCGACGCCGGTCAGTGGCCAGAGCATCATTGAAGAGGTGCCATCGACCAACAAGAAAAAACGGAAAATAAAACTGATCGACGACGACTCAATCTCATCAGAAAAACCACAAAATGTATACTTTGAAACGCCTCAGAATCAAAATCAAAAAACTGCACCAAGCAGTTGCAAGTCGGACACACTCGGATCTAATATAGAGTTCAACATTAAGAAATCATGTGTACAGAATAAATCAAAGAGAATAAAGTTACAGAAAAACAATCAGGCTCACAAGAAAAATAAGGTGGTGACGTCCACACCTAAAGTTACAAACTTGAGACGCAGTCTGAGGAGAGCCCAGCAGCAGAACAGGAACGGGGAACTGAACAGTTCCTTTGATATATATAATGATAAAGATGATGATGACACGCAGCTACAGAACCAATCACAGAAAATAGATGAGGGCCATCACAATAAGAGTAAGACATTTCCCGAGCAGGATAAAGACACAACTGTTCAAAATGGACAGTTTGAAGATTTGAGTGATGTGTCTGGGTTCACAGCTAACTATATACGATCCACTAAGATTCACTCCGCAAAGACTCCGAGAAAACCCAGGAATAGAAACAGTAGAAATATAGTCAAAAATAATAAAGCTGCTGAAAGGGAAGATGAAAAAATAATAGTATGTGTAAATAAATCTGTGAACACGGGATTGGGCGAGACAAATATATTGAACTGTAGCACAGACTCCTCACAGAACGTTATAAACTTAGTTAGTGTTAAAAATAACAGCAGGTCTTCAAAAGTTAACAAGAGCACCTCCTTACTGAAGTTCATGGAATCAAAGTTAGACCACCCCAAGGACAACGTCTCCCACAACAAAGTTCATGATGTACCCGCTAAGACACAGTTGAACATTTCCTTCCAGTCCAAAAGCAGCGGCACTTCGAGGTACCCCACAAGGTACAGAAACAACACTAAGATATCAAACATAGGTAATAATCACAAACACTCACCCAGACAGAGATTCAGTGAACGAATCAACAAGTTAGATGACTCGGACAGGAAGGAAAACTCCCAGGAGAGAATCACTACTAGGACGAGGAGTAGAAAAAAAAATATAAACTCGGAGGTATTGGAGCTGAATCATACGAGGGATCAGAGCAGCTCCGGTGTGGCCATGAATGTAGCTACATGTGATAACACGAACACACAGGGAAACACGACGAGTTCCAGGTGTCTCCGGAGCAGACGGTGCAAAGACAAAAGTGCAATCTATAAAGACTTTTTTAGTGATGGAAGTGACGGTAAAGTGGTGGAAGAAACAAACTGCCCTCTAGTGAAAACGAGCCCCAGATGTGTGGGGCGGAGCAAGAAGTGCAGCGAGAGGAGAGCTCGCTCCCCGACCAGGGACCGGTCCAGGAACAGAAGCGGCTTCACGGCCTGCTTCTCTGACAGCGGCAGTGACGATGAACCTTTGAAACAAAGAAAGTTCTTCTGTTAGCCCTTAATGAACATTATTCATAATACTTACTAGCTTTGAACAAATCAATATTGGAATTTCATCTCGTAGCTGTTTTGGCATTTACTATTCAGTTGTAAGTGAGACAGTCCTCCGAGGTCCTGACAGTGCCAGAGACGCATCTCTTGCGGTGGGAGGGAACCAGTATATTATGAATAAGCTTGCTTTATGTATGAAGCTGCAGGTGTCGGACTCACCTGTAATATGGAATGTGTTATTAGGGAATAGGTCCTTTATTTATTTAGGAGTCCGAGGGCGCATGTATGATGTACGACACACGAATCAAATTTGTGTATGAAGTTTGTATTATAAAGTGCCATTTGAAAGGATTTGTTTTCCATGACTAGGACGTTGTTATGTGTTAGTTAAGATTTTAATTTAGAGTAACTATATCACACTCTATTTGTTTATTTTGTATTAAATTTTTGTGTAATAAATACATTTACCGTTTTAACAGGTGTACCTATGTCTATCATTGACCTTTTAAAGGCGCTTGTATGAATCGTCAGCCGACGAGCTGTTGTGTGGTTTTTCCGCCATCACTTAAAACGTAAAATTTGTTTTTTATAGCTTCAAAATCATTAATTGGAACTAAGTTCACAATAATAAACTTACACGTGACAGAATTCTGCTCAAAAATAGACTTGTTTATCTCTAAATTATATCATTGATGAAACTGGGATTTACAAGAATTTTATCCCCAGAATAACATTTTTACAAACAACATTTTGGAGTGGAGCAGTGTCGTCGATTCTGTTTCTATACAATAGACTGTTGAATAAATAGATATACATCTGTATTGAATAGAGAAACCTGATGCAAACAATTATCTCTAAAACATTACACAGTTTCATTTAATAATCAACAAGCTACTTTCCTCAAAAAATACGTATTGTTTTGGACTTAGTGTAACTACAGAATTTGTTTGTTTACTGCCATCTGTCGTGTTTCTAATGAACAAAATTGTACGATAGACAAACGTGGTCATTTTTCTTCTCAACAACAGATGGCGGTCAAAATGATAAATAGTTCTCCTATTTAACGAAAGAGGGAAGCACAGATTGTTGTCCGAATTAATTTTAAGTATATAGGCAAATTCGCATTATTTTAAACATAATTTTTATTTGAATATCAAAACTTTTTGTGAGAAGTATCTTGGTTTGAAGTTTTTTCACATATTGAAAATTAGCAAAAAATGACTTATATAGGTACCTATTTAAAATATATATTTTAAAAATTATACTTTCACGGTTGTTACTGGGAAGATTATATATTTTTATAATGTTGAATTGTGTATACACGATTTTACCCTTGACTGGATCTCTCCTGTACAGAAGTCAGAAGACACATACATACCTACATGTTATGTATTGTAGATCTAAAACTCAATTTTCTGTAGGTCAGTGGAATAGAGTGCTATGGGTTTTTTTAAACATAAAGTATGGTGTTATAAGATTGACAAGTGATGAGGAGGTTTTGTGAAAGTTGATTCATGTCGGTCTGTGTGGGTGAGTGGGTGTGTGGGTGTCATCCGTGTTACCAACATAGTAAACACTTTATATAAAACAAATGTCTAGGATTAGTTAATTCTGTAAAAATCATAATAAAAGTACGATAACATTATTCATTATTGTAACGGTTTTTTTTTGGTGAAATTTCAAAGGAACGTGTAGCGAGTTCGATCTCAATGAGAAAGTTAATTCGTGTTAAAAGTGTCGTATAGTTAACAATAGAGCTAGCACCTCGTCCACTTGACGTTCGAGATGCATCACAATGAGAAGTAAAGTCGAGGAATCAGATCATTCCGCACCGACGAACTGATTGACGTGCTCGCGTGGGAACCGGCCGACGTCGCTAATGTATTACAACAATATTATTATATTAGGATAAACGTGTTTGGAAATACAACGTGTGCTGTGAGAGACACATCCGACAGATTATGTGATCAGGTCCAACATGAACATTTTACTATCAATGTGATCTTCCGCTGACTTCAATTATATTTTAAGGAGTTATTTGCCGCTCAGTTGTTTTTTTTATATTTTTGGTGAGGTTTGGTGATCGAGTACCTCTCCGAGACCAGAAGTGTGACACTACAATGTATTTGATGCGGTCTGGTCGTTGGATAGAAACTCAGAGGTTTCTGTTTGTTTAAAATCAACACCACTAGGTCTATCCTTATATTTTTATACCTCAACCTGCACTCACTTATAACAGTCAAGTGTCACGTTCATATTTAATTTTTTTAATGTACTGATCTAACCTATCATATATATTTTACGTGTTAGTTTTGTGAATGTTCTCTGTATGTTTGTCTGTGTCCTTGTGAACTGCTAATTGTGAGGACGCGAGGATGACGGGCTGCCTGCTGCCAGACACCTACCACTCCTCGCTGTTCTGTTTACAGAGCTTGTTTTTATATTTTCTTAACGAAAAATAGACGACAACGAACTGTGAGAACATGAGAATAAATATATCGAATATACCGACTTGAGTTTTATTTTAGGTATAGAAAACTTATTATTTTTATTTGTAATGTAAAGCGAACAAAAGACAAACAATTTAGCCAGGAAAATGAAAATACTGAGAACAAATAAGAAAATGTACATTTTTAATCATGTGCCTATTTACGTATCGCTGCCGTGTATGTATATAGATGTTTTATATTACCCAGAAGCCTGTAACCACCTCAAGTGATGTTTGTTCTTCGTTATTAATCCGCCAAGTTCTCAGTGTCCGTGGTCGCTCGTGTTTGTAACACAACACTTGTATTTATTCAACTGTTCCATCTCAACGTTTGAACTTCGTCAACGTTAAAAATGATCCCAAAAAGAAGCATCTCTTACACTAACGAATATTGATATTTATCGTGTTACAGAACTTATTTGGACACATTACTCCTGTCGACTACAGCTCGGACCTGTTGCTTTTTAAATAGTAACTTTAAATTATAAATATTTTGCTATCACTAATGTTACCCCGACTCATTCATATTTTCGAGACCCTCTGAACTCTTTATATAAACGCGGTTCAATCCTAGCCTGTGTGGTGTAGCCGTGCGTGGTTGTACATAGTGATGGGCGTGCCTCTCTCCAGTAAGCGGCGGCTCGTCTGAGCCTTCGCCGGAAAGCCCGTCTCGTGTTGCCCGGCCGCAGCCTGCCATTGTTCTATTGAACCTTACAGTTTTCTTTATGCCTCGTGTAGTATTCAATATAAGCAGAGATTCCATCCGAGGAAGGTCGAGGACGAGGCCTCATTATCGATGATCGTAACAGAACCTGCGCTCATATGTTTAATAATAATTAATATGTGATATTTAAATATTCCCGAGTACACATTTTAAATAAAATCCTTGTTTGCTATAGGTAGGTAGGTACGTTTCTTTACCTAACAGACGCCGTGGCCTCAGCTCAGAAACATAGTTTCATTAAACAGAAAATTAATATTCTTTTAATGGTTTATTAAATACGAGGTGTTCGCTTATATTGTTACATGTTTATTAACCCTCCTAAATATTTTCATGAAAAGTTGCTACTAACAATATATTTTTTATTTATTGATAATATTTTCTATTAGATATATTACATTTTTTGTTGTTTTATATAAAAAGTAATTTGTTACATATAGTTAGTTATCCTGCGTCATCTTCTATATATATAAAAATGGATTGCTGTTCCTTAGTCTCGCTAAAACTCGAGAACAGCTGAACGGATTTATCTTATCTTAGTCTTGAAATGTTCGTGAAGGTTCAGGGAAGGTATAAAAGCTGAAAAAAATTGATTCATTACTGGGAAAACCATAAAAACAGCCCTTTTCTATTTCCCATACAAACGTTTTTTTTGACATTAGATTTGACAACTAACTAATATGTCAATCATTCTGTGGCACTTCAAAACACGGATATTTATGGCTTACAGGTAAACACCAAAAAAATAAATAAGACATAATTTATTTCTTGATTGAGGCAGTACGAAGTCTGCCGGGTCAGCTAGTTTATAATATATATTTTTTTTTATTTAAAAGTCAACTAATTTGACCCTCATACAATATTATTACAATTAGTTTCTGATTGTCTTATACGTTCTACTAGCAGTTCATCTAACATGGTAACGTGAGAGTTTTAGCCAACTGATGCTTGACTTCCTTTCAAAGATTCCGGATTATGGCTAGACATTTCTTGGGGAAGAACATTATTACTTATTTCATGTTACAATTGTATAGCGGAACTCCAATACATGCTACTATTGTTTTTAATATAAGGTCGTTAATCTGAATAATAATAATATGAGAACCTAAAACTCCTGCGAGCCGTTTATTTCCTGTTCAAACAGACCCTCGATATAATAAGAGCCTAAACATAAATCTCATCCGACACACCTAAATTAGCATGTTGAGAATATGACAGCACATTCTGGGAGTATCGAGAACTTAAAAAATGTTCAGTAATGTGTGTTTAAAAATAAAAAGTCCTCCATGACATGTAAATTAGCCCGGGACCGAGGACGAGCCACATCGCGACTTATTTATTTTGCTCGCAATCAACGCTGCACGCATTTTATTCACGAGCTGGATCTAACGCGCTTGTGCTCGATACAAAACGAACTTAACGACATTTAAAATAAATTGTAATATCAAATAAAAGTTATATTTCGCATTATTAATACTGTGCTACGAGTTTGAACTCTATACAAATCGTTTTAGAGATCGTTTTTGTTGAGAGTCGTCTCGGTGTCGAGGAAGCAGGAGGTATCTTTTAATAAATTGTCTCCGATATATCCCGCGCGTAGTTTACGAAGCATTTACACCTCTTAAGGAGCGACGCACACAGAACAATATGTACGGGGTTATTATAATATTATTAACTACTATAAAAACACTTCTCGAGAGTCTAGAGGACTGTCACCCTACGGCCTACATATTCTGTAGTGATGAGTGAATAAAATAATACATATTCTAAATGATCTTTAAAACAAACGCGGTGCCTTGTATATCTTAAAGCTACTGTCATTCTTCTTAAAACACAAAAGTAAATTTAACGAACAAACAACTAATATCTCAATGAAGTCTTTGAAGCGTCGTGTGTGCGACTCGCCTTACGATCCTTAAGCGGCGTATCAAAAGGGATTACTCGAGTGCTATAAATATGGACGCTGAGATTATAATAATTTGAATAATAACATTAAAATAATAATAATGTGTGTGCCGCGTCTGTGGCGAGCCTCCTCCTCCTCCTCCGCCAGGCTCGCCGGCCGGCTGTGGGCGAGACGTCAACTCCTAATAGATTTATACGGCCTCATACATCAAAATTATTACAAGTTAGTGTTGTTTGAGTGTTTAGCGGGATCTCAGATGGTTATCGGTTCATTAGTCACCGGCTCCGGTGATTTTTATCGAAGAGAAAAGCTCCGGAGCGATATTTAATACTGTAACAGCCGCGCGGCCCCTTTAACATAACTCTCAGTCCTTTAATAACCTGACAAATAATATCGTCTCGTTATATGTCTCGATGAAGATATCCGTCAAGGTGACGTCATTATAGATTCGATTGTCATCGGCCGCGGTGAGGTCGGTCCCAGAGACCGCACCAATTAAATAATATGAAGTCGAGCTCGTCAGGAGACGGGAGACGGGAGACGGCTGGGCCTGAATAAATCACGTCGATGAGCCCGGCCAATTATAACATAAACAGAGCAATATATTACGTATTATTGGAGTGTTTTTTGTAACAATGAATATTATTGAATGTATTACAAGTTCTTTGTGTCGTTCCCTGTCCTGGGTGGTTTATTGTTTTACGACTGATGTCTCCCGGCCCCGCTCACAATGACGGGACACATCCAAACGTATTCTGTTGTCAGATGAGTCGTCTTGATAGAGCGATGCGATCACTCTTCCTGTCACACACATGCTTTATTTGCGTCTGTACGTCCGCGTCGCCTGTAGGTACATGGGACAGGTATACAGGTAACACACGTACAAACATATCATTACAAATATACACATACCAATAGTATTGTTGTTACTGCTCATTATTGTCTTTAATATATTCAAGTTATATTATTTTCATTTTACAAAGTTCTTATTATTTATATCTCTTTATTATTGTTATTGTCTTAGTTGTGTTTTTGTCGTCCAAGTAGTGTGATCCATCACCAGCGGTAGGCTACTGCTCGGTTTGAACGACCTTGGAATGCCGTTATGTTTTTTGTAAATGTTTGTTCTACACAGGATGATGTCTGTGATGTACAAGTCCTTGGATAGGATTTATTTTAAATAAACTTACCTTTATTTACATATATTACTAGCGTATGAAAAGTAAGACAACAGAAATGGATAAAAAATTATTCTATTAAAGTTTCAACGATAAGTAAATTTATATATTTAATATATAGGTATAACATATTTCGGAAGTTTCTGGGAACATTTAACCAGAATTAAAATAATGTAATGTAACAAAAATAAAATAGTTGAAGGAGCACCTTGTATAAGGGAGGAGCTAGCCTCATTATTGTAAGTAAATATTTAGCATTCATTGTCTGAATAGTTAGCGAGCATTCAATGGAGAGCTAATGTTTATTGTTGAGTTAGAACAACGCTCCATGGAGCCTCCTCCACGGGACTCGACTCACAGCCTTCCTGGAACGGGAAGCTTGGCACCCACTGATTGATTGTTCACGTGTTACTGTTGAAATATATAAACAGCAGGCAGACTCAAACAGACACAAACAGACACACGTACTCGCATACCTATTTAAATAGATCAACCTTATAGAATGTTAACTAATTGTTCCTTCAATACTAGCGAGGGTTTCCTCACACGTTAATCTTGTATTCATCATCAGTCAGTAACATATTCGTCAGTATACCTCATCTCCAGTTCCACCGCAGCCTCCCGTGGGCCGCGCCGATCACCTCCGGTAGTAAAGATAGCGCGACACTTATTGTACAGACATTAAGCTTGAAGCTCCACCAGCTCGTAAAGTGAATTGATTGTGTTCATGAATCATTCTAATATATCTGTCGTTTATGTTTTTAAAACTTATCTTTATTACCTCGCATCACTTTATATATTTATTCATTTTTTTAAGTATATTGAATACATTTAAGTGATCATTATGGGACGGATTTCAAAGTTATTCTACTTTTATAAACATATATGTATATGTTTTATAACAACTCACCCCCTCGCCGTCACTAACCCTCACCTCTCCGTATTCGGAATACCTTCTCGGTGATGATTTAATTCTGTTCATTATAATTCAATAATACAATTTTATTTCGATGTTAATAACAGTTTTATTTATAATAACAGTTTTATTTCGATGTGTCCGTCCAACTTCATGTATCATCATCATGTACATTTCTCCTATTTCGTTTCTTATATCAGTAATTGTTTTCTGTCCGTGTTATATACAATCTCCGTCCCTTGCTCCTCGCCCGGCCGAGCGTCTCTTCGAACTTGAATTTCTAATTCCATCCCCCGCGGCTCACGGACGGTCCAAATCGAAACAATAAATTTAAACAAAACTACAATTCCTTATAACCAAAACAAATTAAGGATCGCATTGTAAACATTTCCTTTTGTAAATGTGACCATTCAGAGGCACCATAAAACTATACACTCCCATGATATATGACGATTGTAAACTTTGGGCACAGCCTCGCTGACAATACTTGATTTTTTTTACATGACTTACTCTAGGAGTCGACGGCTTCGAGTCTAGGTAACATACAAATTGGTTAATATTCTACATTATTTTTTATATTTACCGTTTCGATGTCACTTGAACTTAATTATAACAGAAACATGAATTAAGAATATAATTAAATTCCTTATTTGTTATGTAAGTATGTAAGTAATCATTTAAAATATAAAGTAAACAGTGTAGTATTTTATTCTCAACACAATTTAAGCAGCCAACTCCCAGACTAACCGACTCAGCTACGACTTGTGTCACAAAACAAGCTCATTGTTATAAAAAACTTATTATGTCAAGTGTAAAGCGTGTGTCCCTCGATTGTTTACAACTGACTCGAATATAAACAATTGTAAAATATTATTTACAACTTTACTGTTTATACTTTAAAAGAGTTGAATGACATCTGAATGTCGTGATAAAGAAATATAAGAAAATTATATTGATTGGAAGATGTGCGGTTGATGAGTGTAGAGTACCAAGTGTTATGATGATGATTATATACATATATAAATTAGATCTTGTGGAATGTGCGGTCAGTAAAAGACTTGCAAATTTTTTTCCTTACATATTCTACATGTATAATGTTACGAAGAAGATCATTAAAACTAAGCTTATATATACTACTGAGTACGATCACTGGAGGGTTTGATGGTAGGAATTTGCTTAAAGTGTTTGAACTGAATACGGCCGCTACAAATATATACGTATACATATATACAGAGAAGAAATATCTCAGCATTTCACGTATTCAACACGCTGGTGCCGGGTCCATCGCAGGGAGGGAAGCTTCAGTAGTGATGGGAATTGGGACCCAGTAGTAGGTTTAAGGAGCCCTTATCTAACGCGCGTTATACGCCCAAGCTCCACCGTCCAAGCTTCTCTCTCTACCTAATCAAATTTGAAAAGGCTTACTTGATAGTTTACTTCTATTAAAATTGCTGAGTGTATTAGATGAACAAAAACTATTCATTATTTATAACAGGGACACCAGATCTGTAGTACTATTCAACACTCTGAACGTCTGTGTATACTATGATAGATTACTATAAATCCTAACAATGTTATTATATAAAATTAATAACATAATATCAATGAATGAGTTCTTTACATCACGTGTCACGAGTGAGTTAAGGATCGTATAACATTAAATTACTGAAACAACTATAAATGTAATCGTATTATTATTTTATTGCCATTAAAACTTTGATGACTTTGCTTTTTATAGACGATACTTTATACGAGTCTGTTCACGAGGCACCTGGTGACGTCGCCTCGCTTCTAATTAATGATACTAGCATCTGACTGGGACTCCTCTGATCAGAGACCGAACCTGCAACTAATTATACAAAATATACAGAAAATATAACTTAAAGGAAACAATGTTTTAGATGAGAATCTAGAACTATGATCAAATGGTCGATGAATTAAATAAAAAGTTCTTAATTATTCTAATTTATTATGATAATATAAATAAAAATGGACACAGTTTATTAATTGTGTTTCTAGAATGTTAATTTATTTGTATTAGTGTAGTGACACCTGCTCTGACGAGGGTTGTGTTCAGAACATTCAAATAGGTACATCAATGTATTAGGTGGGTTTATCAACTGCTCAATGTTCCTGATGTAACTAGAAAATAGAGACATATTTTTGTTTTAAATGCGTTATATTTATTCATGTTATTCAATATTTAATTTTCTCAATAAATTCAAAACCTATTAGAGAGTTTATTTTTTAACTTAATCGTAATTTCCGATGAAAAGATTTAACACAGACTCGATTCGTAAAATTTAAAAGCGAAGGTTGATCTACTCTTAATGAAGAAATTGTTAAAACACATAAGTAATAATCTATTCAACTACATACTAACAGTGGTTTAGTATAAAGATATTTGACTAATTTATCCCAACAGTTTTAGAGACAGCAAGTACCTATATGTCATACACAAACAAACTTCCAGAGTTAGAACTTGTAGAAGTCAGTTTAAGTAAAACGCATGAAAGAATAGAATACAATAATAATGATTATAAAATGAAGAAGTCAGTTCAGAGCGTGTGACGTGTAATGAGAGGCCGCGGTGTGTCGAGGCGCGCCGGGCGAGCAGGAATGATATTACCTTCTCAAAAGACTTACGCTCGCTCCGCGGGGCGCCCATTATCACACTACCAGCTCTGACAGCCAACGATATGGATCCGACATGCTAATATAACCCTTGTTGTGATAGACACAAGGACCACAGACTGTTCCTGATGTAGACACGATGTGTTCATTATACAAATAAATGAACAGATATACAGTTGTTAGCGGAGTGATAGTCCCGCGAACAGGGTTGCTCTTTACGGACACAGAGTTATATGAATGTACCTACTTATAATAATGTTTGGGACGCGGATGGTGGTAGTGGTACCGGTGGTAGCCGGTGAGGTGATGCTTGTAAGTGGTGGTAGCTCGTAAAATAATTTAACGACCTACCACCTGTAAAGTATTAACGACGCTGTTTAATTGCTTTTATTCGATAAAGTTTAACGAGTGTGTCTTGGTATCAGTACAGTTTGTTTTCGGGCGTAATGTGGTGAGTGGCGTCCCTCCTGGGATGGACTTCTTAATGTGATGTTGTCAGTCAGATAACACACATTATATAACATACTACTCATAGTCTGAAACTCTTTTACTGTTCTTACTATCCTAACTCAGTCTCTACGTCCTCCCCATATATCTCCAAGGTTTGTCCTATTTGTGTGTCCTTCAATTACGTTCTCTATACAGCAGTAACTTATCAAACCAAGCATATTACTAATATTTTTTTTACCTATAGCTGAGAAAATATATAAATAAAATATTATATTCACTGATGTCATAATCTATCAGTTATGTCGTTCAACTATCAAGCGATGTTTATAACGATGAGTTATTATTGTATATTGCTTCTATTCTACACCTGATATAGTTTACTAAGCAATAATCTATTGTCCAAACAACATAAAGTTTATATTGAATGAATATTTTCTCGTGAGTGTGTGTATGTCCGCAGGAGGTTCTATACTCTTATCTCCAACTCTTTCCGATCAGTAATCGTTGCTTCACCATACGTTCCCGGTCGTTAAAGTCAAAATCAAAAGCGTTGTTTTTAAATTGATTGTCTCCATAATATTTTTAATGTCTGAGAAGTGCCCGCCGTCAGCTCCGGCCCGCTCTATTACCTGTATTTTTGTATATATATTTACGCGACTCATCATTGTTGAACGTCTTTTATTGTTTTTCAAATGTAATAAAATACACATATACTTTATTATCCTAAAACGTCAAGTTAATTGTTTATCTTTGTGTTTGTTTTATTGTTGAGACGCGATCAACATTTTGGTGGTGAATTAGATAATCTGGAGACAACAATTTAGTATATTAATGTATATTAGAAAAAAATCGTCTTTATTAGTTGTATACAATCGAGAAAACCACAAAATTTTAGTAACTGTTTCTTTTTAAATGGTTCAGTAACGGGACTTTTGCAAATTCATGAATTTTAAGAGTCTGTGTCTTTAATAAATATTATATAATCGTAGTATCAGTAGTTTCCCGTTTACTCCCGTCACCCGCGGCTCACAGCACACCCATGTTGGTCGTCTCTTAGTTTATTTTATGGATCATAAAATACTTTCATCGTGTGATACTATCTCCTTGTTACTGTTAATTGTTCAAACTCAACAATATACGTAATATTTGTTTCCTTTGATCTTGTGTTTACATATTTAATTTAATCTTTATATTTGTCACTCACGATACTGTTAATGATTAAGTTAATATTTCGATCTCAGCAGTAGGTATTCTAGTTCTTAGCTTCTAGTCTCGACCTTGTTCAATCACAAATCTCTCTTTAAATAGTTTAGTATTATATCGACACATGACATTGGTGAAATTTATAAGGAAACGCTACTAACTAAAGAAGAAGAAGAAGTTAATATTTTTTGTTAAATCTTCTATATTTAATCTTTCTTTTTTCTTATAATCAGACCTTTTTATATTGTGTCCTTCTTAAGTTTTCTTACGTTATGTACATTTTATTCCATCAAGAATATCTCAATTAAACTCCCGAGTCGTAACGTTCAGATGACAAATCGTAATGAGTGTGTTATGTTTCTCCCCGCACGCGCTCTCCAGCTGCGAGGCCACTTCCTCTGATCTTTGACTCGGACAATTGCACGCATCTGCCGCACCGACCGGCCACCTTCCCAATTATCACTGACCTCTCCTCTCTGACCGCGACGATGATGACAGACCTCAACTATAGACCCACCTACACTGGTCAAGACGCCTCGCTCACCTACCTCGCTGTACGATCCCGAGAGCCCTTACTGGTACGGCATAAGGACATTAATATGATCCGTGTGACGGTAAATGTAACATTGTAAGGAAATATTAGTCAATCCGTTGTTGGCACGAGATTATGAATTGAAGTGGTCCGCGATCAACTAGGTGCTTCCGTCGCCTCAGCTGTTTATATTATACTCACTCTCTACAACATATTAATATTTATTTATTATATTATAATGTAATCTACTTGCGTGAGCCCCGATACAGATTATATCAATATGTTATATACCTATATCTAATGTCAAAGATTGATTGAAAGAAATGTCAGCATGTCAAAAATGTAAACACCAAATTCAAAAGTTTATCGAAATAATGAACAATAATATTAAGCCATGACTCATAAGCAGTTGAAACCCAGCCCAGGGCAGGATCGGAACTACAAGTCGAAAACTATTAGCAATGTTGAACATCACTCCGACGACCGTCCGCGGCGCAGTCTTCTGTTAAGTTGTGAAGATGTGGAGCGCATGGCTGTGGAGAGTTCCAGAGCTCGACTCATGATGCAGCTGGTGAGTGAACCTAATGAGACCTCTCGGGAATTTGGATCATATTTTTCAAATTGCCGAGGATTAAAAGATGAATCGGATCCCTTCCACACGATGACATCCCATACTTCGACAATACCGATCCCTAAACGAATAATCCCCACGTATCCTTCCATGGTTCAAGCTATCAGGTGGTGTCCCAAGATAGAACGAAGTAAATCAACTTATTCTGCAGATAGCATGACTGACTCTGGAGATGACGACGCGAATTTTAAATGCAGATGTCGGAAATGTAAAATGAGACACTGTCGCGGCAAAGTTAACTCTAACAGTAAACCGAAGTGTTTTAAAGATAATATAGTGATATTTACCGACAACAGTACAATGACACCTCACGTACAGGACACGGGTTGTGGTTCACACAGTCCGATAGCTCCGACCTCGGCCACCTCCGACGTATCGATAGGAACCTCAGAATCCATTCCTATAGAACATGATTTCTCTCAAACCTATCGAGCCGCTCCAATACCCATTTTAAAGAAACCCCAAGTGAACAGAACAATGCGCGAGTCAGTTAGAGATACTAAAATCATGATTCCTAAAAAACCTACTAAGATATTTAAAAAAAGAAGCGAGGGATTAATCTGTCCCAACAACAGCGATGAGTCTAGTGGATTTGAATACGGTCGGAAAGTTATTTACAATGAGGGTATTAGTGATTCATTAAAAAGTGGCCAATCACGTCGCAGTACCCCGACAAGGAGTCCAGCGAGGACTCCATCTAGAACTCCGACCAGGACACCTACAAGGGTCCAGTCACCGGTGAGAGTAAAACGTAACGAAAGTAAATCCTCTGTTGGCAGTAAGGTCGCGGACAAGGAAGCCACAATACCGTTCGCTCACAGGGAACGCTCTCGATATCACTCCGATTGCAGACATTCAATCTCTAAAACCTATCGCTGTGAAATCGATGATCATTTACAAGGAACCAAGAGCCCGAAAGACTTCAGGAAAACTGTAACGAGTGACGCGTCGAGACGCTCTCCGTCCCCTCCCATACAACTCCCGAAGAGAGTGTTGACGTCTGAAAGAGACATCGAGGCGTTCGTTGACAAACGGAAAACTAATAATGTTCGACGACGATTGTTGTTTTAGGTTAATATATTAATGTTAATAACCCCGAGAACTAACACTATATATAGTGTTTTATAATTAATAATTAATTTATTATTATATATTATATATTTCGATCTATTAAACATAACACTAGAATATAATGTAAGTATTTTTATTGAAATGCTTGTAACCTCTGTACGTACGTGTGTGTATGTGTGTCTGTGTGTTTGTGTGCTTGTGCTCATGATGCTGTATGATTGGGGTCAACAGCTGAGGAGAAAGCTTGATTGGATAATCTGGAGGCAATTGGATGATTCAGGGGCTCACACTTATATATACATCATGTAATAATATTATATCATTAAATATAATTTTCTATTAACAACTATATTATTATAATCATTCTGTAACAAGAATTTTTTTTCTTGTTTCATATGAAGGTTTTCTAAAATACGAATTAATTAAAATACTAATCCTTTTTATGAAGGATATTCTTTCTGTACCTAAATAAACAAAGTATATTTATATTAAACATAATAGTTTCGTATGTCGATGTAGCCAGTAAGTATTCCACGAGGTGGAGGTGGCAGCCCTGCTCGCCCCGGCACGCGTCGCCTGCGCCCGCGCACTGCAATCTGCAACTTGGTTAACTTTGTTATTTATCTCACTGTTTTGTTTATTGGACGCGATCCTTGTTACACTACACAGCGTACTTCACTCCTCGATGCCTCTCGAGGTGTTAATATGATTTTATGTTTTAATTCCGAACCAAACTTCTTCTTTAACACATTAAATAAATTTATTCGAATGATAAATTATATGAATTAATGTTTTAAGTGAAGACGGACAGATTAACAGCTTTTATGACGAGATCATATTGGAACATAAGAACAAGATTACTATATTAGTAACGTATTCGATGTGATGAGTCGATAGGTCCGTTCGTATTTTCTTCAATTAGCATATTATTTAAATGAAGTTAATTAAGTTTCCAAACCAATTTAATATTTGGTATATCATAATAAACGCGGGGGAGTAGTGAGCTGTAGGTGTTTATTAAGATGGCATGATACGTCACAGCTATCAGTCATAGGGACGTGTTATCGTTTACCCCATCGGTGGCTTTTTATGAAGCCGCTGGCCATTACTAATTTTATTTTCTGTTTTATGGGGTGCCCATCATTTTATGGCGTAACAAAATTATTTTTATGATTCTGATAATCGAGCTCGTAGCATTTGAATGTGTGTAATAGGTTTTAGTAAATAAAGACATTCACCGTACCCTGAATTAATGGACATTCCTTGAATCAGAAGGTTTTAATCCGTTTATCTTTATATCAAGGACTATAAGTAGCGTCCTGCGATTAGAAACTTTATGTAATATTTATTGTATTTCGTTTAGGAACCTTAGTTTAATCTAAATGTTCGTAATGGGTGAATGTTTAACCCAGGGTGACCCTACCCCGGTAGGCCAGCCAGAGCTCGTTCATCATCGATCATTCCTCACAGACGGACGAACAATGCTATGTTTGTATTAATATATTTGGTAGATTTGATAACTATATTAAGTTGATAACAAACGGAATGTATATTAATTAACATAAATTACGAGTCGTCTTTGTGTCGCTCGTAATATTTTTCTCTCAACCGTTTTAATTTATTAATGCGCCACGACTGTATGTACGTGTGTCACAGATGGTGAAGTGAGCACTAACGCTATTACAATTAACTATTATTATAGTTATTAGTATAAAGACGCCGACACTTCCGGTACAACAACTATCATATTACTCGTTGTTTTGTCTTCCCTGTATGAGTTTTTATCATTCATCTTCAAATCCAAATACAACTTCAACGGGGAGTATTGTGTTGTTCATGTTGTCAAGTTACGATCATTTAAATAGAATTATAAAATAAAGTTCGTCATTGTGTTTGTCTATTTGTATTAGTGGCTACTGATATTAATTTTAGTACATATAAGAAGAATATCCTAAGGTTTAATTATTGCCAACTAAGTGTGGTGGACAGATCTATTAAATAACATTTGGAAAGTATGATGTAAAATATACTCGTATATAGAAATGAACCTGAATAAAGTATATATAGAAATATTACATATGTTTACTATAATCAAATATAAATAAACATATTCTGTATATAAAATATCCAAATGCTTTTTAAAGTGTTAATAATTACTTATCATCTACTAAATTTGTAAATAGTTGCTCCTTATTAAAATGATTGGTAACTGGTGAATTTGCATAATAATTTCTTGATTTTTTACATATTCACCAAAACATTGCCTGATTGCCATTGACGAAGCGTCTATTGAGACTATTGAGTCACGAAGCTATCATTAACAAGTGGTAGTCTACAGACATGAGACTATCCAGGACAGAGTCTCGGTTCCTTTCATCAGATACTGGTGAAGATGTTATTATTAGTCGGTGATCATCAAACGAAGTCAGAATGATTGTCCAGGTGACGGCTCTGTAGGTAGATCCGTCGGCCCAGCGAGTTACATTTACATACCACGAACTTGTATCGACTAGGAATATAATTAAGATACATGAACATTTAACACAGTTAAGTCACAATGTTCATTTATTAATCCAGACCCTTCTTTTATTTGTGACAGTTAATATGAATGTTTTTCGTTTTTAGTAAAGTGGAAAGATCGACCAGATAAGCTTGTTTTGGGGCAAATTGGGTTCTTTCTGTATAATGAAAGTTATTCATATAAATAATGTAACCGTTCACAGTGAGCGAAGGTCTCTCCGATGGAGTTGTTTGTTTTAAATTCTCTGAAGGTAATTAGAGATCTGATCGGTAGAATGTTTCGTAACTCCCGTGTGCTGTGTCTCGGCCGCCTTCATCAATCTCAGCTGTCGTCTCGTCATATCGTTAGCGCCGGTCCGCCAGTCCGCAGTCGGCCCTCCACCAGCGGCTCCTCATCTCCAGGCTCGTAATAACTGTATCATCAAGCAGACATTCGTTACCCGCCGGGGGTCAGCACGAGCGAGCCGTTCCTCGGCTTTATTAACTTATAATTTCAGTACTCATTAATTGTGACTAATATATTTGGAAGGCCGTCGATAACAGATCTCGATGGAGTCATTTTAATCCTGTACAAGAGTTGACCATTTGTAGGGGGTGTGTCGTCGTTTCCGGTGCGAGCACACGTCCGCTCGCGTTAGCGTCGCGGCGCATTATCGACCTATCTTTTGAAAAACGCCTAAACATTTTGATGTCTTTTTCATTTTGTCCTCACCGGCCGCTCCGCGCTGTCACACAATTGGTTTTGCCTTTTCCCGATCGAGACGCCGCTGTCTTTGATCGTACCGCCCGATCTGTTCTCTGCCGATGCAAAATAAGTTCTCTCCTCTGTACACAAGGTTCATTTCGATTAGTTTATTCATGAAGCCGGGCATTTAATATCTTTATTAATGTGCCCGAGCTCCGATGATCGATGATAACTAATTATTAGAAACATTTCGTTGACCGTGTGATCCTGACAGATATTTTCCGTTCGACTCTGAGTCTTATATCTCTATAATAAAGGTCAACTAATGCTCTGAAGATTAGCGCGAGATAATCGTCAGTTATTGTATTTGGTTATCGTTGAAATGGTTACCTGAAGAGTTAAAAAACCTCAGAGGAGATTTGTTATTTTTCTATTTTTATGGTATTTGCGTATTTCTTGTCTTTTGTTTGTGTAAAGTTTGAGTGTTTGTGTTTTTGGGGATTTACGTTAATGACCTTAGAGAGTTTTAAGTAACTTCAACTATTGTTAGAAAATATTGTTCTTTAATACTCTATTGAATAATAGAATATAATTAATATTAAAGATTAAAGTAAGTTTAAGTAATCCGTCTCGTCTGTACTGTATTAGCTATAGCTCGCTGAGGAGATTTAAAATACCTGTACATCACAGTCGTTTGTTTTGTTTGTAATGTAATGTATAAAATACATTTTGAGCTAAAAGGATTTATAATGCTAACAGATTAAGAGATTCACGGAAAGTCTTAAAAAATTATCCGACTGTTATGTACTTATTAACTATAGGTTTTTAGTTTCGTGGATAAGATTGTTTTAATACAGTTATATAACGAGAAGGTTAGCAACACAAACCTCAGAGAAATTATTTGATATATTTGTTTAGTATTTATATTGTTTTTGTCTGGGAACGTTGAAGTATAAACCATACACATAGTTCAGACCAACACAGAATAATGTATTATTTTCATGATTAGTTATGTTTTTAGTATCTCTTAACTAACATTGTAAGCTCCAACAGAATTTTTTTTCCACAACCAAACATCTTTGATTTTAATGAAACTAATATATTTCGGATTATTCTACGTGTATATTATTTTTGTAAAAACTACATATTCCCAGTTGACTTTCAGCAACCGTGATCACGGGCAGACATTCACATCTCGTCACATAATATACGCATAGTATAATCCGAAAAATGTTATATTCATTTAAACGATTTCTCTCGAAAGCCTTAGATCTCATTATCTTCGATCTGATTTATCTCGTCCTTGGTCCAAGTTGTATACCACAGTCAACTTAATATTTCAATATGTCTTTGTCAATTTGCTAATTTTTATCAAACATTTTCTGTTTCATATCAAGTCTCCATTGTCTAATGTCGTTATAGATAAATCGTAGGTCATATCACAGAGCACATTACAATAATTTATTCTGAATATATTACGGGCAATTCAAGTAATAGGTTACAACATAATAGGGTAGAGTCGGTTATATCGTACCACTTTTCACTTTAACTAAAATATTTCGACTATAACACGTCTTATAATAATTTATACATATGTAAAATAAAGTTTCATATTTTAGCTTCCTAAGAAGAAGAGAACAGATCCTTGCGATTATTCTAACATTGTTAAAAATGCTTTTTTATAGAGGCTTGCCATCGGTACGATTTATCCGACTAGTCGTTTTAATCGTACCACTAAGTCTTTAAATCGTACCATGGGTGTTTAAATCGTACCACTGAATGAAAGACATTAAAATTCTCAATCAAATTATTTATTTTTAACTGTTAGGTAAGTATATAAAACATCATTATTTATATCTTTTAGGTAATACAAACATAATTTTTAACTCTTAGGTTATATAAAGGAACTATAAGCTTTCTCAGTAAAATAACATGATTATACTATGATAATGAGATCAATCAACATAACTAATAAAAATGAGACAAAAATAAACAGTAAACTATAGTAATAATGTAACAGTTAATAAGAATGTTGTTTGTAATATTGTGCATATTTCTTTATGCATATTTCTTTCTAATCATCGCTGTCATCATCATCATCTAGTTCTACAACAAGTGTCTCTCCTGAATCATCGCTACTGGTGATGGAATGAGATCGTTTCCTCTTATAACTTTTGTTCTTAGCCTTGGGTAGTACTTACTATAGGTACTTGTGGTAGCACTATAGGTACTTGCGGTGGGTAGTCGGGTAAATCGTACCCGTACAATTTAACCAACTGCAAGTGGTACGATTAAACCAACTAAGGCATTTCTAAAACAAAAGCAAATATCCGGCATAAACTCAAAATTTAGACACGCAACAAAAGCCCCCAATAATCTAGTATACAATTGTGGAATAATAAAAAAAAACTGAATAACTATAGCTTACCTTGATTATGAGTTATCTCCTTACGAATGTACGACAATATTTATATTAATTCCTACAAAAAATGTTTTTCTTTTATTACGTGCACAGTTGTTAACTCACGTCGATTTAAACTAATGGGTGAAGAGGGATGGTACAGTGGACATAAGTTTATATTTTAAAGAGCTTTGTGTTAATAAATAATAAGTTTCACAGAATTTCAGTAAAATTAACAATTTTATACTTTAATTATTATTTTTAGTGGTCATCCTGCATGCATCCCTAGCGGTACGTTAGGAAATTAAGAAATCGTTCTCGGTAGATGACAAATAACAAGACAGACAGAAAGACATTTCATCTCGCCTGCCCGTGATCACGGTTGATGTAAACTGTAAAGGAACCGAAATGTCGAGATTATGTAGATATAAAATAATAAAAAATGTAGTATTATTCGAAAATCATTGTTTTATTTAAATGTATACACACGAAAGACTTAGATATCATTATATCCCAGAATTACCGTCTCCTCATATATTGTCATTTATAAAGTAAACCAATTTTTAACAATTAAAGTCTTCTTCAAGAAGACTGTTCAGATTTTGTTACTATACAACAAATTTTCAGTTATGTGAGTATTTTCAAAGATTTTTTATGTTGCAGTTTTAAATTTTGATAATAGAATGGAGAAAACAAAAACGTTTTATGATTTGTATAATAAATGATAACATCTTTAAGTGTGACTTTCTTGTACCTCGTTTTGCCATTAATATATTTTCCTTTAAAAAAATATGCTAGTTTTATGAGAGCTAAATCTTATAATCCTTTATAATTGAACGATTCAACATTATTACAGTCGCGCAGAATAATGTCAGATCTATTATTTCTACACAAAATATTGAACAACAATATTGATTGTCCAGCTATATTGCAATTATTTAATTTCAATATTCCTTTAAGATTACCTAAAAACCAAGCGCCATATTTTGGGTACCGCTATACAAATCTAACTTAGGAAAATATTCCCCACCAGCTAGACTAGCACGCACATATACCTAATGGTCTCTCCTCGAAGATCTCTAACTATTACTTGTAATAATTTGCCTATTTTTAAATCAAATTTGTTAAGTTTCTTAAATAATAATATAAATTATTGGAACTGTAATTATTAATTATTGTTATTAACTCAAAATTAATTTAAAAAATGCTTTATTTTTATTTAATTTATTTTGCATTTAATATGTTCATGACCGATGACCTTAAAAAGGTCGCTGGGTCTCATTGGAAGCGGAAGGCAGAGGACCGAGTGTTATGGCGCGTGTTGGGAGAGGCCTATGTCCAGCAGTGGACTGCAATAGGCTAAGTGATGATGATGATGATGATGTTCATTTAAATACAAATCAATTGATATTTTTATAAAACTGTTAAATAATTCAATTTCTTTTTAATTATATAATTGATCCAAAGAAAACAATCTTGTGATAATTACTAATGTTTAATATATTTAGTGCATGCTGTGATTACCTATAAAAAGAAATACAATTACATATAAAGTGTGTTCAATTGTTAACTATATAATATTTGTAATACTATTGTCATTTCTGTTTGTGATCCTATAAAATATATAAATAAATTTAATATAAAAAAAATATATAACTTAAAAGATGCCAAAATTATAATAACGCTATAATATTTTTTCTTTATTGCATGATGTAAAAATAGTTTTGCGGTATGTAATTCGTGGTGATTTCATTAGCCGTGACCTCTGTAAGGTCAGGGTCCACGGTGTAGAGTTTCTTGGCACCTCTCTGCGCGAGACACTAACCCTCCCTCTCAGACGTAACCCGAGGCACAAAAGATCATTCAGCCTCCGTCCGCTGAGTGTCCGTATTGGCTTACACGGCTTAAAGGTTTTCAACGTCGGAATCTCGCCCGCTCTTTATTTGGAAAATATTTTGGATGCACATTTTGTGTGAAAATATTTGTTTTGTTCCTTCCCTCAATTGGTGTCTAATAAAAGGCGAGTCGATGAAGATCGTGTGTCTCCTCTCCTCGCGTTAAATATGTACATACATAACGAATCAGTTCGTTCTGTGCTTTAAGAGTATAATGGGTTCGCGTCGGCGGCGCACACTCAGAGGCATAAAAGGCAATTGTGTATTGTGACGGCGAATCCGCGGATCCTATCTGGTTACCAATCTCTGGTGTCAGATGCGCCGATCGCGACGTGAGAACAGGCGACAGGTGGATGCCGAGGAAGGCTTGGGAGTAGAGTGGAGAGCGACCGATGTATCTCTGTGGTTACAATACATCTATTAGCCGATATGCGGGCGACATATTGTGTTTCCACGCAAAAAACTATCATTCTGTATCGCCAACAAGATAATCGGGTTTTGCCTCCATTAATCAAAAACGTATCGATTCCCATACGTCGGGGCTGATGCTATTTATTTTTTAATAATATGACAGGTAAAATGTTCGGCATTTAGTCTTCGGCGTTATCTTTTTTCTAAACAACAGCTCACGGTGGAACGTTCGGCGCGATATTGACGCTTGTTCCGCGGTGTTAGAGACTAATTTGCGTCGAGGTCATTGTAGTATGTGTTCTGTGGCGGCACGACTCAATTAGAGAGGCGGCGTGTACCGCAGCATCTCGATGTCTCGATTCGGTCCCGATTTATTAATTAATCGATATACAAACAAGAGCCGTCATCGTCCCGATACAGTCGGAGATATCATTGGGCTCTTAAATGTGGGACAAAGAGCTTTTTATGAAGAGAGAGATTTAATAACTGTATCATTATTATGTACTTAATGGTACTTAATGTCTCGTCTCACTGTCCGTTGTGAAGTCAGTAGTAGCGACCTGTCTCTGAGATATAATATTAAATAGTCTTTAATATAATATAAATAAACGAGGTACACTAGTACTAACTAAAAGTATCTTTGCTATTTAAGTTCTCCATTTCTGTCTGTTCTTAAGAGTTTTAATGATAACTTATATCAAAGTATGTTTTATATCAAACCTAGATTTCACATACTTTTTATTCCTTAGCTGCAACTGAACTTTTATCACTTGCCGTCATAAAATACAAAATCATTTCATTAGCTTCCATTTTTCATTATTTCTTATTTATTATTATGAACAGGGCTCTTCCTTTTTTCTACACAATAGAGTAGTATTGGGACTGATATTCATCTAAACTTAAAAAAACTGTGAAATTTGTTATTCATATTACTTTTTTAAATAACAACAACAATAATAATTGCCACATTATTTTTTAAATTCTGCCTTTATCGAAATGTTCTATGACGGTTTTTTTATTTATACATATGTAATATGTTGTTAATTGAAACAAAAAACTATAATTGTTGCTCTGTAAATAGAAATTTATTTTCGAAAGTTTGATAGAATATTTACAAAACACAATTTACGACTACCTATATATCTAGTACAAATTAACATTATATTATTTACTAACCTGTAAAGAGAAACAACATTAAGAGCTATTGCTTCAATTTCTATTTTAAACAATCGTTATACCTTTTCAAAAACCTTGCTAAACTTAAACGTACAAAACCAGAGAGCCTTTTTCTACAGATTAAAATATATAATGAATGCAGAGTAAGAAGTGGTGCTACCATAGATAATAAATTATAGTAAGTGTAATTATTAAATGAAATGAAGAATAAAAGAGCTTCATTTACACATAAACATAATCGAACAATTTTGGGTCTTCTAAACTCTTTTATCTCTAATCTCTATTCTCTCAGTTGAAGGACAAAAACTCAAATCCAAGATTATTACTGAAAGATAAATAGATTTTTAATGAGATTGTAGCCTAACTTGATTTCAAGGAACATTGCTGCAAGTAAATAAAGGAATTAATTTTTAACAGTTCTAAATAAAATCTGTTGAAGCCTCAATTCAATTCCGTAAAAGGTTCCAAAAGTCTCGTCTTCCTGCAGGCTTAATCTTCTGTACCAGCGAATCTTTTTAAATCCTTTAACGAATAATGTAACGCACTTATCATACGATAAAGGATTTGTTAGAAAATATTAATATGCGGCTCCTCAGATACCCGCTCACCCAGAAATACGCAACAATTAATATTTTTTAATATGATAAGATTACATCTAACAATGAACAGTTCACAAAACACAGTCTAATAGCTGTTCTTATGTTGCACGTTACAAAGAGTTAAAAAGCCCGGAATGAATCCATCTCGTTCCTTTACACTCAGTGTTACTGAATGTGTCAGAGGTAAGCTCTCATTGGATTCTTTTGCAATTTACAAGTTGTCTACCCTTTACTACAAACTCGGGACACTCATTTTATATATTATCTAAATACACACACATTAAAAGAATCAGTTATATTAATGGATGGTAATATTATTTTTCTACGAGTATCCTCTTAAAGTACATTAAGTTTATAGTATGTCTGTCCGTCCTATGTGTGTCCTGTTCCGAGGCGCCGTCATCATGGTCACCCTAAAACCCTGGACTCGATCTTGTCCGCGCGACTGCTTCCTTTTGCATTTATTAAACATATCTGATATCAATAATAAATCTGTAACACTGGATCGCTCCGTGCACTCTATGTCCTGGTGTTAAGGTCGACAGTCGCGTGTCCCTGGAGGTTTCCTCGCTTGTATTCTAGATGCGCGAGCGCAGATGTGTTACGTCTTTGTTGTATAATTAGCGTTTTCCGGTTTAATGAGCGCGTCGAGTGGCATTACCACGGCTGCCGTCTGCTCGATGGTGGTGAGCGGGCCGGTGGTGGGCTCGAGGTTTATTAGATTACGGTTACTATCACCAACTATACTCACACACTAGTTCACTGCTCTCTGCTAGAAAATGTATGAAATAGCTCGACATAATAATCACATATATATATTTAATTTTAATGAATTAATTTTACTAATAAATAAGACGCTATTTCGACAATATATAAAACCTGATCGTTATTACTTTTTCTTAGTTTCTAAGACTCGTTTAATTTCATAAGGGACATGCTGAAGTCTTGATAATTGTAATAATTACCTATTGTAAGAAGCTCTCCAGCAACCGCCTGTTTTCTCCATCATCCATGTACTATAGAAGATACGGCTAAACATCATCGTGACGTCACTGGATGCTAATAATACATACATATATTAAATATTCTTAAATTATATAAAGGAGCATAGGCAAATCACAGCCTTATACAACATATCACATAGAGTTCACATTCCCTTGTATACTGTATGTCGGTAGGGTTAAAGGGTATCATAATAATTGTCATCACATGAACCCTTTCTATTTGATTTATAAACGTGTATTAGTGATGGGTCACCGCACCATGACCGACACCTCGTAGGAGGTGTTGTGTGTTTACACACGGAGAGATCGTAAACTAACATAAGGAACATACTAAATATATTATCTACTTAACTGGTTGCAGTTTGTGAAGAACTATTAAAATTCTGACAAATCATTACAATGGGGTATATTTTCATTATTATTTATTATCTTGTGTTTGATTTTCCTACCATAATATTATTATTTAATATGTCTTTGTTTATCAGTCTTATATTGTTATTTTCAAAGATTTCAAAGAGGTCGCGTAAAAACTTTAATCTTTTAATAAGATTTTATCGAGAAATATAATCGCCTTAATATGATAGGGCACTCGAAAAAATCAATCGCAAAATATTCAATAATATGAATACAAAGAAGTGAGAATGTATGTGGGAGTGGGAGAGGGTCGGCGCGGGCGCTGCAAAAGCCTCGATTGAGACATCCGACACGGTATCAAACGGGCCGCCTTCTATACTCCTGCACTATCGAGCAACAGATGGAGCGGGCCACCACCACCCACCACTACCCACCACCGTCTACCTGCGGCCTCACCGTGCACCTTAACACCACCACATAAAGCACATAGTCGCGGTTCACACGGTCCACTGATAGTTCGCCGAGTGTCAAGTTATGATTGTAGAATTTTATCCGTTTAACCCTTATATCATCTTGTACGGTATTGTTGACTGAAAATTTGTCAGATGTGAGATGTATAGGAACTCTTTGGTTGTTTGGTGTTTTTTTGGTTCTCGATGTTGGTACATTAGGCGTTGTTGTCACCGGATCTCGGCCGACCGCTAATGTATGACAGAGAATGTATTGTGAGTGAGTGAGGGCCCAGTCAGTGAGTGAGTGAGCGACTGGATGTATTGTGTCCTGTAATATGACTGTATTGTGCTAGATTCTCGTGTCGACTATTGTTGTCATATGTTTTGATCATTGTCGGGGAGATGAGTCTACAGCGACCATATAAAAAACGTTTATGTATGTTTCTTGGAACTGAAACGAGTTTAATATAAAGGAAGGATGCAGTACAGTCATTATATTATACAAATGCAATGCCTTTAACCTCTAGTTGCAGTTACAAATCTCAATTAGCGTTCGGCCTTCGCCCTTGGGCCCTCGGTCCTCTAGGCCGCCCGCGCCGACCCCATCGTAACCTATAACCCATCACATTTATCTATTTTAAAATCGATTAAAATATTTCAAATGACTACGTAATTAAACATTATCATTAGTTTGGTTTGCAAATAAGTAGTAGGTTAATTTGTGGTGACGCTGTTTTCACTAAACAAATATTACGTATTTGGTACTTTGCTATTGTTAAAATATAAGAATATTAATGATTTCATGTTACAACATAATGATTTATAGTGTTAGTTGATGTTATCAAATATTGATAATAGTTATAGGATTCAATAATCACAACGCTACACCAGCAGAAAGGTGATCGTGTCTGGACCAAGGGACTGAATTAGTTTCTTAAATATTTAGTGTGTTGTATCTTATGTCACATTTATATAAATAATGATAATATTTACAAACAGTTCTGTTTGATAATGCGTGTGTTTATTGAAGTGAAGTCCGTCACAAGTAGGAAGTACAAGAGAGGCGCAAGACGGTTCTCAAGCAGCCATTACTGTGATGAGGATGTGTTCACTTGACTGACAATTGTTGAACACACTCCTCGGCCGCATCCTTCTATCTAGCTGGACACTGATTCCCAAACTATACATGACATTACACACGTATAAACTATACACCTGGAATGGTTCTGTTACTGAAAATAACCACCCCTTGAGATGAGAAAATAAATGAGTTTGGATGAAAAATGTAGCATAATAGACACATGCTAATGAAAAAGATTTTGTCAACATAAAATATACGGCGAGTTTGAGGTGTTGTGCCTCGGATATTAAGAAATGTGACAACATTTGTATTTGTATGTTGTACGACTGATGTAAGGAGGCACACAGACATACATACACACACACACACACACGCAAGATAACAACGAATGGAGCGTAGGTGATGTGAAGGTTCGTGTGGGGATTGTGTACTGACAATTATATTACAGTTTAAATTGGTTAAATTAATGAGATGATTTACAAGGAGTCACTTACATTACGACCAGTACAGGAATGACTGACTGGAAGACAACTTGAACCAAGTCATTAGTACAATAATACTTCCCCTTTACAAATTGTCACACTTTTATATTGTATTTTAGAATATTATGTTCTCTTCAGTTTTATTTATTTTGTATACAAGAGACCTTTTAAGTATTTACGTATTTATAATGACCAAATCAAATACCACTAAGATAATAATAAGTATAAGTAATGCCTAATTTCTACTAATGTAATGACGTGCCTGCGTATTATTCCAATGAGCTATCAACATAATATTTTTTAAAAGTATTGTGTAATTGTTTTACCATTATAATGGAAGCGTTATCTTTGTATGTGTATATGTAATACAGAAAACATTTACATTAAACATTTAAATTAACGAAATTTGTGTTTCATTAGCGTGACACGTGTAAGGGACGGTACTATTAATAAATATATGTTTATACAATTATTTTATATAATTCAGAGCGCCAGTAGGAAAGATACATTTATTATATGTACTAGGACTTAAGGTGCTTTCAATAACCTGGTTTCTTCCAGGTTTTTCATTGTTACAGACGAAGTACATTGCTTTCAAACTTCAGTATAAGTACGTACCTACTCATGTTAAGAATCAATGAACTATCATTTCAAAGTGTAGCGAGGTGACTGTGTTTGTACATTCATCGTAACGAGATCATTCCAACCTTCCTCAGTAAGTCCTAGTTTATTATTAATAGTATTATAATGATCATCTCCTCATACTCTCAGTTTCTAATGTCCCGGCCCGTGCTGACGGTCACGTACTCAAACGACTCCAAATATTATTAATTGATTCATAATATGTCTGTCACAAGTGTTGATGAGAGACGCCATTCCATCTAATAGTTATCAAACACGTTCCTAATAACTATATAATATGTTGATAATTAAAATAATCAAAAACAATTCTATTGATCTGTCTTTATGTCTCTTTATCAATCGGACATCGAATGAGGAAAATGAGAAATTAAATGCTTTAAGAAATCGGTCACAGTATATTTACATATTTAGTATTTTCTTCTTCTTCCTGGCAATTTCCCAGCTTTAGCCAGGGTCTGCCTAGTTAGTATTTACTCATTTAGTATATAATGTATAACTAAAAATATATTTTTTTAATCTATAGTGATTTTAATGTTGAATAATCATATTAATAAAAGTTTCTCGTAGTCTGGTAAATACGAAGTCCGGTTCAAATTTAACAGTAAAATAAAATATTTTAACTCTAAATTTATAGTTGTTTTTGACCGATATCCTATTATTATAACAATTGTAAGGCGACCTCGGCGATGTTAACAAAACAATGTTTCCTTCATTAATATGAAGAAAACAATTAAATTCGTACGTGAATTTAATTTTTTTTGTTTTTAATTATTTTAGATTTTGTGTATTTGATCGATTTACGAAGAAAACTAACAATGATATTAGATGTACCTATGTAGTAGGTTATGCGAAAGATTCCAAGATACCCAATTATAATTTATAAATACTTGTCAAAACAATATAGTTATTGAATATTCTAACCGTATGTTATTGTAAGTTACTGAGATTATATTGTTGTACATTTTCGTTGGTAAAGTAAACTGTTTAAAGCTATGTCCCTGACTAACATTTTTGGAACTATGGATTCATAGAAATCTTACGAAGTGTCTTCATATATTGACTTCAGATACAAGAAAATCCTGTATAAAGCTCTATTTAAGAGTCTGTATATCTTGTGAATAGCGCCTGAGATTGAGCCAATCTTTTAGCTTGAATCCGAATGGGTTAACTTTTAACCGTTCTAAGTGCGAACTTATTATGGGCTTTTTATAGAAAAAAGACTAATGTAAGAAAAGATGTTAAATAACAAGAAAATTAAATTCTAAGCACAAACAAACATGATAAGAGAGAAATATAAACTGCATATTTTAACTTACTTTGCGTCGTCAAACTGCGTACGTACTTACGTCCGTTTCAGTATAAACGTAGATTATTCAGTAAGAAACGGGCAGTTTTAATAAATAATGAGACAGGTGAGGTGAGGAGATGGAGTTATAGATGAATTTGTTATCTAACACATATAGAACAATAATATTGTGATGAAAATTAAAAAAAGTCATTTTAATTTCCCATTTTCTTACTACGCCTGCATACTGAACCTTGAAAGGGCCATGTCACTAGTGTAGCATTGTACAGCATAAACACATTTCTCTGCCTATTCATATAATTGTTAATTTGTATATATTAACGGTTTTATTTGATTAATTCTAATCCCACCAAAGTAAATATAATATGTTTGAGACTCCGGGAGGTTCATTTCTTTTACCGTTAATATAGTCATAATATTATATAGTTAGATAGACCTCCCTTAAACCTACACCTGGGTCACAAGTCCCAGTCACTGTTGAAGCTCCTCTCACTACAACGATGGACCCGACACACGCACGGTGAACACATGGAGTGATTAGCGGTTTCCTATTATGTATATAATAAGTATTTAATATTCTTAATGATTATAAGTGTAAGGCATTTATTTTTATATATAATGTTGATGCGTTGTTAATAATTAATGTATTGGCGTGAAGTCTGTCTCTAGACCTTTATCAAGAACCACCGATTCCCGGTCAAACAGATATGTATATTTTGGTGTGATTAACTCTTGCTTCTACTTGAGTTTGTTACAATATGTTTGTAATAAGATGTCTTCTGACACTTGTATTCATCAACCTCGTAGGGCGACATCGTAGCTTGAATTATCAAATTAAAAATCAGACGTCATTAATTATATGACGCTCCTGTTGTTTGTTTGTTGCAAGTTATTTGCTAATAGTATTACTATCCAAATATTGAAGAAGGTCGCGTTTCACGTAAAGACCTGCCTGTACCTACATACATTACAAAAACTATCTCATTAACAAACAATGATGTACGACGTCAAAAATATATTTGTCGAAAACATTGACACACGATCGACTTGTTCTAGTTCATACATAGAGTTGAATTAATGAAGCCGATATGATAATGAGAATTAGATATCATTACATACATAGAGGGAGTTTAACGTTAGGTATATTAAAAATGCAGATTAACTTATTAAATTATGCAAAAAAAAACTTGTTTACTTAAATTGACTTTATAAATATTCAATTTAAGTTATTTATAATATATAATTAAATGAAAACTTTAATTATCGAGCTCATAACGCGTATAGTTTGATTGAGTGTATATTATGAAATGTTTAACATAATGTGTATATATTATTAATAGTAACATATAAAAAACATTTATTTAATGTGTTTAATAGTTTGGCTTGCCGTCACCTTACCGTCTTAGTAACGTGTGGTGTTATATGTTAATTAAATGTGTGTGTGTGTGTATGTTCATCCTTACTGGAGTGGTTCCATATAAGTCCTTATATATTAAATTTCTTGTATAAAATCTCACAAGCTCTATGTAGATCTATTTCTTTATAATTTTGACAATAAGAAGTCGCACATTGCATGATTAACAAAGGTGTTATTCAAAGTATAAAAAGTTTTAATTTTTGTTGCTTTTCCTGATTGCGGCAATTTTTATGTTTTGAACGACACGCGGACGAGATGGATCCAAATTTTAATTATTTTATGAAATATTCACGAAAGACAGAATATCAACCAAAGGTAATATATATACCTTATTCCTTAATCATTGGCTTTATCAGCTTAACGAATAAAATAACCGCTCGCTTTATAAAAAAATTATATTTTTAGGTAAAGCCTCTATCTCCGTGTTGAATTAATATGATCTTTATGTGTTAGTTATTTTTGGACATAGTGTCGTTTTAAGAGTATGTTATACAAAAAATTCTACACAAGTCTCATCACATGTGAGTCCTTGAAGACAACAGATAACTTTTATTATCTGAAGATACTGCACGTTCCCCAGAGAGCGATCTAACAGCGGGCATCTAGCGGGGTGGTAGCAGTCCTAGGTGGTGTATACAAGACGATGGTAGTGTATAGTCCTGGTGACACACACGTCAAGCGAGCCTGTCACCAGTGATTGATAAATGGCATTCTGATGATCGGTTTGGGAAAATTTAATTTTACACTTCATACAACAGGCATAGTGTTATTATTGTGTTCAAGTATAAATGACACGGTGTTACTGATCGTGATCAATAATGAACTTAAAGGAAATGAATACGTCTTAACAGTTTCACAAATTAAAAAAAAATTAATTAATTAATTAAAAAAATATATATGAATATGATTTAAAGAATATTTCATTATCGGTTAATATTTTTATATATTAAGTAAGTGTAGTATATTCCGTATCTAGTAACAAAGCCACGCAGCGTCTGTTTCTCGTTCATGACGGGTCCAGTCATGACGGATGATTAATGATGGCTCCTAGTGACAGGCGTGTCTGATTGTCTGTTTGTCTGCTGGTGTCGTGTCCCTCAGGTGCAAAACAGTTAGTAGCCCGCCGGCGCAAGTGAAGAGAGACGGGCGTTACATAGTATGAGTAGAGACGAAACATCTTAACATTCAATGGATTCATATGCGGGTGCCGGGTCTATCGTTACAGGGAGAGGAGCTTCAATAGTGCCTGGGACTTGTGACCCAGGTGTACGTTTAAAGGGTGTCTATCTAACGAGCGTTAAACGCTCACCTCCACCATCCAAGCTCCTCTCTCTACCTAAAAGTTTAGTTATGATTTATGTGTAAAAGTCTTATTCACATTTTATCAAAGTATTTTCGTACTCTTTCCCGCTGGTTCCTATGACTTGCGGCCCTGGACAACACTAGATGGATTGTATTTGAATGAATCTGAACACACGGCCTCTGAATAGATGGAATTAAATGTTTTTGAGTATGTTATTGTGCGCGTATTGCGGTGTGTCCGGCCACAATGACGACATTAAAATATAAATCTAAGAAATAACATATGATTGTTGCTCAGAAGATAATGGAGTTGCATCAAAACCTTTTTACAATATATGTAAATAAACCTGGGAACTGGGAAGTCATTCCATCCACACATAATACACGCAATTGGCATCAAAATAACTATCAAATATATTTAGGTGCATTTCAATATTTAAATTATTTTCTTTTTATCAAGTTTGTTTAACTCAGATGCTGGAAATATTAAAATGTAATTGTTCATATAAAGTGACATATAATATTATTACTAACTATATTCTACTAAACATCGTACAGAGGACAGAAGAAAGTTTTACAAACATTTTTCAATATATTTGATAGAGATTATCTTGAAGAACTCATTTCAAATACAAATCGAGCGAAACTTTAATAAAAGATATTTTAAAAAACATTAGTTTTATTATATCAATCGATATATAATCACTAATTAGTACATATCCTTATAAAGTTATCAGGTGAGGTTGAAAATATTTCACTATGTAGCCATAACGATCACCTTGTATTGTATATAAATGTATATATTATTAACATTTGTTTGATGTATATTTGAACATCATTAATATATAATGATTATTATTATCATTATAGAACTATTTCTTCAATTATGATAATATTTTGTGATCTTTAATAAAGGAAGGCACCTCTTTCCAAAATAATTGATAATTTTGAAATTAAATTCTAAATATATATAATTTTTAATGTTTATCAAAACAAAAATAGTTTCAGATCTTTCTGTATGATTATTCTTTTACCTGGCAATTTCCCAGATTTAGCCAGGATCTGCCTTACATCATACATGTTTTTAATAGTTTTGGCTAATTGTTTTTACGACCGGCCGCCTGCCTGACATCAACCCTCTTTGGGAATGTATTAATCAGTGATGTCTAAATACTCTTAGAAAGAACATATGACTCGGAAAAATCACATTGTTAGGTACTTGACTGGGCTAGGATCGAACCCGCTCCCTCGTGCCTGAGAGGCGGGCTTCTTAGCCACTGGGCCACCAGTGACTTTTTATTATTCCATGTTTTTTTACTAGATACAGGTGTGTTTTTATTCTCTTTAATTTTTTTTTTCATAATAACATGTTTTAATATACTTTTACAATAATACTATATATATGTCGTAATATATAAATCAGATAAGATATGTTTTTAAAGTCGTGTGTGGTCTGTCGGTGTGTCCACCGTCCAGGCTCGTATCGTCATTGTAAGCGTGATAACACAATCACACATCAACAATCTCCATATCTCACTGATACCTTTATTATATACTAGATTTGCCCGCGACTTCGTCCGCGTTAATTTCGGCATTAGTAATATATAAAAGAAAGCCCACTACTACAGCCCAAAACTACAAAACAACAGAAATAAGAATTACGTTAACATGAATAGTTTGGCAGTATTTAATAAATTAACTACAGAAAGAAATTGTTGTCTATAGATATTGTCTATCATAACTCTTTTTTTTTAACGAAAGGAATGCTTATTGGCTGTCGATCGTGCCTACATAGACCGGTAAAAGGCACATAGCAATAATGTCGTTTCGGCTAGGAGTTGAGTTCTCGAGTAAGTAAATATGGTTTTTCGCTTATATGAGGAAAAGTCGAACATTTTCCGGGATGTAAAGTAGTCTATGTGTTATTCCTGGACGTCAGCTTCCTGTCTACAATTTTATTAAAATCGGTTCAGCCGTTTGAGCGTGAAGAAGTAACAAACATACACACACACTCACAAACTTTATGGTTTAAGATATTTCGCTATATTAGTAGGATACACTATTTATATGTAGGTATGTATCAAAACTAATTGTTTTAAATTATCCTAAAACAATTATCTTTGAAGCTATGTCTTTACCTATGTATATTTATTAATTTGTCAACAGAACAATTGGTCCTTCAATATATTTGAGTTGTTTAGATTAATGAAAATAGTGTCATTAATTCCTTTTCGTATGTAGACAACGCCTGGATTTTAACTAGTTCATATAATTCTGTGATGCGAGTTGAACCAATCCTCACACATACTTAGCTTGTAGTAATTCTTATTATATATTTATAATTATTTTATTTGTAATTATATCAATATTAAATTCTCTTATTATATTAAAGAGTTTGTTATTAAGTCAAAGGTAATAAAACATGTGTGTTTTTTTCGTTGTATGAATGTCTTTTGAACACAGTTTATTTGTATTAATTTAAATCATCTTCATATATCACCAGACACAGATAGATGTACATATGTATGTACATTACACAAATTTCTTTTTTATTATGTAAATATCTAAAGATTAATGTTGTTAATCTAAATTCTTCAAAGGGATTTATTTCTTGTTCTTTAAATTTTATATCACTAATTTGATTGCGTTATATGGAGATAAACAGGCAAAACATTAGGTATGTTATCTTTGATTATTATTATTATTGTTAAAATATAACTCTGTGTGTATTAATAGGTTGTGTCAGTGAATTGTAGAAGACAAATTAGTTTCACTTAGTTCACGTAGTTTAGTAATGAGTTACAGATAAATTGAATTATACAATTAGTTCAATTTGATAATGTTCGTGTGAAATAAAAGATATAGATAAATGAGAAATATTATAGTTTATTCTTTACCTTAATCTAAATTAAACCTAATCAATAAATATACACTTTGGAATTATTTACAACGATAGAATATTAATAAACAAACAATATCGGAATGTGTCCTACGACAGAGATTGCGCTCCGACACTGGGCTTGGCTTGGCTTGGACTCCGGGACACTGATCTAATACTACATCACAGATAAATGTTCACTCTCGAGGAGTCGCAGGTCACTGTCGCGTGAGAACAGTCACCGGCTTGAAGATGTGAGGCGATAGAGGGTGGTGGGACGGGGAGGGGGAGCTCAGCTCGGGGCTGGAGGAGCCGGAGGTGGGCGGCGAGTGGACCAGGGGCTGGCAGAAAGGAGCAGAGGGGAGGCGGTCACCGTACAGGGGAGAGTACGGGAGGCTGGAGTACGACATCTCGTTCCTGAAGGCCGGGTGAACTGGGCCCGGTGTGACCGGAGGAGTCTTCATCTGCATCGGCGCGTACCTCTGGTACAGCAGCTGCGAGTACAGGCCGACCAGCTGAGAGTATGTGGCAGGAGGGTATGGACCGGCCAGCGGCGCGCCCGGGAACAGAGGCCGCTTGAAACACGCCAGACGGGACCTGCCGTTGAGAGCCGAGCGGCGGCGGAGCTTGCCCGTGGTGCCTCCGATGAACACGTCCTCGGCCGAGGCGTCCAACATCCAGTAGTTACCCTTGCCGGGGTCGTCGTAGTGGCGCGGCACTTTCACAAAACACTTGTTCAGACTCAGGTTGTGTCTAATAGAGTTCTGCCAGCCCTGTCGGTTCTCCTTGTAGTACGGGAAGTTTGTCATGATGTACTCGTAGATGCCGTTCAGCGTGAGCCGTTTCTCGGGACTATTCCGTATGGCCATCATGATGAGCGCGTTGTAGCTGTAGGCCGGTTTCTCGTGTTTCTTATCCTTGGTGTCGTCTTCGGTCCTGGGCTTGGAGCAGTCGACGGGCTCGGAGCCGGTGCCCGTCACGTCCAGCTCCGAGTCGCTGAGGTCGGCCTCGGAGGGGGTCGCCGTGGAGGAGGTGGTCGGCGAGGGAGGCGGCTTGGCCACCGCGTGGTTCATTAATATAGCGTTAATACTAAAGTCTCCTTCGAACTTCACCATATTGAATGCACTTTATTTCACTAGTTGTAACGGAGCGCTGCGCGTGTGCGCTGACACTGCGTGTGACGAGTGGACTGGCGGGCGCGGAGGCGGGAGACCGTATTTATACCGCGCGGCCGTATCTCCGCCTCGACGGCTCTCGGACGGGTTTGGTCCAATCGTAGGGCGAGCTTTCTGGTACATAGCGCTACGCCCCGGGGCCCCCCGTCCCCCACTACCCAGGCCCCGGGCCCCGCGGACCCCTCGTGCTCAGCCCCGCCCTGGCCACAGCCGCTCAGCCTCACACTCCGCTACATCCTTGTTGATCTTGTTGTGTCGCTCACGGGACCTACTCGCTCCTCATGTACTTTTATTTTGCAATAACGAACCGATGGTCAGGATAGTCGTGTATTTAATATAATGAATGTCGTCATTAAAGTGTTTGTAATCACGTATTCTGATATTAGTTAACATCCTAAATTGAATGATTTGCGCAACAACTCGAGCTGATAACGAGGCAGCGCCGCGTGATACATGCTAGTTTGATTAATGTACTTGGCTGTTGTTATCAAGATATTCGGCTACTAATAACACGACACAATATTACAATTATCACCAAAACTTTTAATACGCTCCAAGTAACACATTTTCCTCGTTTTTATGTTATATTAGTAACAATGGATGCGGATTATTTTTGTTATACAAATAATGTGTAAGTGTTATCAGTTGATATCATTGTTCCGACTGGCAGGTGTTCAGTGTTCAGTGTTCACTGACGGCGTGATACAATACATACATACATACATAGTCAATACAAATCAAAATTAAATATTACAATATTTTTATGAACAATATATATTTGATAAGCTTCAGTTTTAACATATATTAATTTTATATGAAATGGAATTTATTCGAGAGTTCGCAGCTATTATAAATGTTTGATCAAAATAAGTACTTATATTTTAAAAATTATAACTAATAATTATGATGATAAACGCTTCCCACATAAAATATAATGACAATTTTGAATGTTTTTCCACAACCTTAGTTTCCTAGTGAAGGTAATTTTATTTTTCCTATATCAGCTACACAACGTTATCTTCGTATATTGATACAAACAAAATTAGATATGGAGCAGGTGTAGATAAATATTTATTCAGTTAATATGTATATATATATGTATTGATAGCATTATTTTCGTCAGCCGGGTCCGGACCGAGGCTGGAGGTTCACACTGTACGTACACGCATACAGACACACGCGGGTAACACGTGGTGCAGATACTAGTATGTGGAAAGTATAGGAACAAATTTTAACAATACATGAATGAGATAGGAACAGAATTATACATAATTTTTTATCAAAGTTTCTATTAATTTGGAGACTTTTATTAAACAAATATTCTTAAACTACAGTTAAATGTATATTGGAAACATTTCCAAATATTATTAAAAACTCTATTGTAAAAATCTATTGTATTATATAGTCGTGATGACCTAGTAGTTAAAGGTCCGCCTGTCATGCATGAGGACGCGGGTTCGATACCTGGAAAGTACCAATGTGATTTTCTCAATTATATGTACTTTCTAAGAGTATTTAGACACCACTGACATACAGTAAAGAAAAACATCGTGAGAAAACCTGGACTTATAATATCAAATTATAAGTTTGAAATCACCAACCCGTCTTGAGCAAGCGTGGTGATTAATTCTCAAAACTTCTCTATGTAAGAAGATGCCTTTTCTCCGCAGTGGGCTCTGATAGGATGATGATGAATCTATTATAAATTAAATAAACATAACATATTGTTTTATTTCTATTTTCTTGTGACAAATAACATTCTGAAACATTTCATGATTTATTTTGTAAAATCCAATAACATGAAGTAACATCTGTGTTGTTTAAATATATTTTTCATTAATATCAATATTTTCTTACACGCGCCTCGTCTATAGGTAAACACACACACATTCGGGTAGATACAACACATTGAGAATGCGATGACAATTTTTTAGCATACATGTGCCTATATATGAATCATATTTTTGGCATTGTTTAAAATAGCTGAGTCAAATCTATAATCTTTAATCTATAGACAGGGTGAGTCACGATAAGTAATCTTATTAGTGTTTCTACAATCTGTTAATTCTGATGATAATTATTAATTTGTTTGACCTTCTCACATCACACTAGTGTTGAACCTTGCCTCAGTCAAATATTTCAGCAACTTTAATACATTTTGATATATCTATTTATTTTTATAATTCAACTCTATTTGTTTGACGGAAATGTCATCAATGTAATAAAACTGACACTGTTCAATTTATTAGCCAAATTTACTTATTTATTACAATAATTCAAAAAATGTTAATACTAAAAATAGCTTTATAAATCATTTACATGATAAACGTAGAAGAAAATATGTTTGATGGGTCTCGATAAAATATATTTTAAATTACGTAATACACTACGCCCATAAATACTTTATAAGTATATAAATACAAATATTATTACATATTTAAAATTAAAATATACAACAAAAGAATAGTTTTTATTTCATAAACATGTGTATATGGTTTCCATAAGAAATTATAAAGTAAGTAATGTTGAGTCAGTCGGTAGTCGGTAGTGAGTGTCTGTTAGTGAGTAAGTGAGGCCGCGGTCCCACCTTCAATTCCCGACAATGTTTGTGACCCGCACCTTAACTAAGGTTAAATAATAATGACGAAGATGAACGTCTCCCACTAGTGATGTACACCACGCACCCAACAATATCGATAATCATTGTGTTTCATATCTATAGTGTTTATCGATCACAACATCGTATTAACATCAAAGCGATGTTTCTACATTATCTTATCTTAAAGACTTAAAACTATTTTATCACTGGAGTCAGGAGTTTTAATAAAAATTAAGATAAATAAAATATTATCTGATTCTCAAGCGAGCCTCCAGAGAATAGACTGAAGAAATTATATTATTATCATGAGACAAACTGAGTGTACATCACTATTGTGTCAGAATTGAATTAGTGCGAGGGTCAGTGAGGATCGCGGCGTGGGCGGAGTAGTGACGGAGGCGAGAAATAAATCCGACAATATTTACATATGTACGAGACACGAGTACATAACAATGAGGAGATATAACGTGACACACAGACACACACACACACATACACAACAGACAACGGGACATTCAGTTATCATTATAAAGGATCAGCTTCACATTATCTTGAGTGTTATCTAAACAATGACAAAAATCGTCTCCAATATATCTTTGCAAAGATTAACAGCTGATCTGTAAAGAGCTGGATGAGCTGTTATTATAATTAGAAAAATGTAAAGAATTTTATAATAACTTATTAGAAGCTGGCTTATAATGACTGTCCAAATATGTTTACATGTAGGTAAGAACTAGGCTGTTACTCCTAAACCTGATTTAAAGTGAAACTAGTATTTTTCGGATTATGCTACGCGTTTTTTATTATTTAATACTTCATACTACCAACGTTGCGGTAACATTTCAGTAATCGTGATTACGAAGAAGAGATATCTTTGTCTGAAGTCAGACATTCACTTCAAGGAGTATGTAATTTTTACAAAAATAATATATGAATAGTATAATCATAAAAATATTCGTTTCATTTAATTCTCGAAATTTTTAAAAAAAATTTAAAGTACCTATTTCATTTTTGCTAGGAACCTTACAACAGAAAATTTATCAATAAACAATTTATTACAATGACTATAGCGAATTAATAGAAAATAAACTCCTAATTGTTCATTTTTACTTAAAAAATATTTGTAGACAGTTACAAAAAAAAACTATCAAGATAATATTATTTAATTTAAAAAAAATATAAAGTTAATGAAATAATAAATAACAATTACCTTGTCTTGTATCACATTAAGAGGTGGAGCATGTTAATACAGTCGTAACAATCCTTAATGATCTTCTAACTGATGATAGGAGTCACACTCACAATAAACTTATCTGCCTTGTGTTGTTTATGTATCTGGAATGTCCTGGTTGTATACTGTAGTACATGGAAACAGTTAAAATTAACTTAAACTTATTAACTCCGTTGTCATCTTTAAGAGTGTAGAATTTCAGAAGGTAAGTACTAAAGTTTTTTCACAAATAAAAATCCCTGTTCAGTCTATAGTTCTATAGAAATACGTTAAATGCAGTATTAATAGGGATAAATATTTTATGATCATATTTTTAAGATAAATAATTTGTATTTTTTCTTTAATATTTATATATTGAAAAATAATTGAAATGTTTTATATTACAAAAAAATATGGTAGAGTATTGGCACCCTTTATCGTTATAACATAAAGGTATCTATTCTGTTTTAATTCAAACATATTCAGTACAACAACTGTGAATTATTTGCATAATATTAGTTTTAAAACATTTTCTTTTGATACATAAAAAATAAACATTTTTATATTTGTGTCCTGAGCGGTTGATACATTCCCTAGTCACTACTTGTGTTACAATAACAATAATATCAAAAGCTTATTCAAAACGTTATTACTTTTATAACACTCGTCTAACGTACATTTATAAGTGTATTTTGATACATTATAATACAATTTAAATATACATAGTTTACAGTTTTGTATTTCAGTTACGACAAATATAACACCACATAACTTATCAATATAAAAACAAGGTGATATTCATAAAACTTTTTTATAACTCGGCATGTTTTTTGTATTAGTTTAAATTGTTGGTATTTTATTATTGGTTTTAGAAAAAAATATTTATAATAAATCCATCGATATATTAGATTCCACATCTTATTCGTATGAACATCGTTTGCCGATACTAATTAATAATTATCATAATATGATGAGAATTTCCATTTTATATAGTGACGCGTAGATGTCAGACAGCCTGGCTTACAAACTATTTTATCAAGCTACTCTCAAAATATACGTCACTTCGTTAAATATTTTTAATTACATTTAAATATTAAACAACCTTTAAGATTTAATAATCGATAATGAATATTATACGAAGATGACTACTAAGAGTATCGTTTAACATCATTAGAATATATCTTAACGATGTTCGGATCTGTATTTATATCAAAATGTAAATTGGGAACACTCAGATAGCGCTATCAGGACAGAGAGGTACAGCTTGATACACCAGACGGTGAGAAGAGACGGACATGTGACTGTTTATTACATATTTATACATTCACTACACATTAAGATATATTAAGGAAGCGGAGGGATAAGGACACACAGAAATAAAAGCGATTACCTCGAGTATTTATATTAAAACTATTCTACAAACACAAGGACGGACAGACGTCGGATGGAAAACAAACAAGTGCAATTAAAGATAATTGATAATTGACATGATGACTTGATCGTGAGAGTGGACAGGTGGTAGGGGATTTGATTTGTTTACGTGTTAGTTAAGTATAGTTCAGAACACGCGGGGACACTCCCGTCGACCGCTCGGCCGCTCCTTGTAGTCATCTTATGTGAAATAATGAAACTACCCTGAGTCCCAACTAACAATATACCTGACAAGAACACTCGTTGTTGCATTACGTGAGAATGTTTCAAAACCTGTGTTCTCTCGACGTGTAGTCGACTAAACGACTGAGAGACTTCTCCAGGTCGGTGAAGTGATCGTCGAGTGTGGACCTCCGACCGCGGCCGTTCACCCTCGTGCGCTACCGAGTACATTAATGCTGTTAAAATGTAAGCTATTATTGTGTCACAAAGTTATTTCAGTGCTACCTGGACTCGAGCACTCAAGTCATAGTGTAAGTCGTTCCTTGAGTTCCCACCCTCTACCTGTTTGTTTCCGTGCGTCCAATACCCCGTGTAACAGAAACAACGCTCCCCAAGTAAAGTAAAGTATTTATGAGAGCTACAAGACTCAGTAATAGTTGGACCGTCCCAGTCAAATTATAGTCGGTATGACCGCGGTCGGCCGTCGCGGACTGATCGCCCCCTCGACGTTTAATCGCTTGCATTTTTGATATCATCATTATGTTTCACTATACGAGTATGTACGCTCGACTTGACAATATTTTGATGTACATTGCTCATATTGACATGACAGAATTAATATTTTTCAATTTATTTAGCTGAATAGGATTTATGTTATATATGTATGTGTAAAATATTTGGAAATTAAATATCTGTTCTGTTGATGAACAATAATATTGAGTCTCTGGTTTAAGAATCTGGTAAGTGATATTCACACATGACATAATACTAGTGAAGAGGTTTTCGTTGAATAAAAATATTTGTGATAGTAAACTTATTTAATGTATGAGGTACAGTCGATGTTCCCTTTCCAACAGTGGATGATTCAAGGCACTAGGGTAGCAGGAGCGGTGAGAAGCACACCAGCTGCGTCTCCGGCCATCGGTAAAAGAAATGTTTGAATGTTGTGGTCACGCAGTTCACTTCATTAGCCTCATGAGTTATGTACGCCTGGTACCGGCGTCCTGTAATTGTCGATAATTATACGGTGGATGGCTCTAACTTGAAACACTTTGTTTGTTTCGACTTTACCTAACTCATGATAGCGGACACTCAAATTATAATTAGTTTATAAAATATTACGATCATTTTAAAAAATAAATTTTACATGAAAATTTATTTATAAATTTTTTTTGTGGCTTTGAAATGAAAGAAATGTTTTGAATAATTACTTCTCAACCGAAACGAGATCGCTATAATCAGCAAAAGAATACAAAATATGAAATAGTATCTTTAATAAATAGTCCCTTGCTGTATGTATATCATCTATATTTACTTTGCTTTTGACTCTATGACATTAACCATTAGTTTACGATTAGATATCATTGTACTTAATAAGTTAAGAGTAGAAAACTTCACTCCATATTAGATTGATGTCTCCATAATATCATAATATAACACTAAACACGAGGCAGCACTGGTCGGTCTGAATCCAAGGCAGTGTTTAGTGATTCCTATGTAATATTGATACTTACAATTGTCCAACACACGAACATTAGCTACCACTGAAATATTGATACACCCACATACATACATACAGCCTGTGGTGTAATGTTACATGTGTTATATGACAGGAGGTCACTGGATGGTTCAACATTCAATACATTACAAATATTATTGATGTTCCATCATAAAATATATTTGTTCAATATAATCTATAGCCATTTTCGTGTTTTACATTATATTTTTTTAAATAACACTGAATTCGGAAGCTCCATATTTAATGATTGTGATATATATAATATTATTTAATAATGATAGATCATGCAACATGTATTCTGTCGTGAACAGACCAGCCCTACTGTTAGCGATGGTTGTTCAATAAATGTAGTGTATCGATGTCCGCGGAGTCTCTCAAATATTAATACACTAATGACATATCACAACACAGCGATGAAATCCACTTCCATTATAACAGACCGCTGGCTGGCATTAAATACAAAAATGAACATATTAAGGGCATTTAGTATAATAACTGAAGTATTCTTTAATATATTATATGAAAACATTACCCTTGTTTATTTCTAAGCAGTCGTCCTTCTACATAATGTTCATTATGTAATATTAAAATGTGTATTGCTACGCCACTGAGTCTTAAATAAAGAGAGCGTCCCGCCTATCAGCTATCTGAAATCTATCGTCGGCTAATATCTGTCAAATAATTGTACGAACACTTGGAAACAGATAATAATGAGGAAAGAAGCGCTACTTATCATTTTTATCGAAGATCCCACGAAATTGGCTATATTTTGCTTGAAATAACGTTGACAATTGAATGTCAACAAACAAAGTGTTTGCAATGAGATTATAAGTTTTATATCGATTTATATATATTGTCTAGACATATTACATTGACAGAGATATATTTTAACATATGGCCTATCGTCGACCATCGCCACTATCAGGCGACAAATCTTATAATAGTTACAAATTTTTCCTCATATTTATTTTCTGTATTTTGGAGAAACGATTAAGAGATAGTCAAATGATTCGATAAGCGGGGATTTACAAAGCGTCACGTCACATCGGAATGTTCAAAGTGTATGTTGTAGGAGAGGTGAGATGAGGACTCTCTGCAGCATTCTCCTGAGTCGTTTCTCCCAACTTCGTGAGACTCTCATTGTTCCTGGTAGCGTGAGGTGTCAGTCAGGAGTCAAGAGTCGGGAGTCGGGAGGCGGAGTGATGGACGGCGGTCGGCGGTGTGTGCTCGTGTTTATTTGTTTATTTGCGGTCAAACTGCTTTGGTTCACGCCGCTAGCTGTAGGAGGCCGCAGTAGGGTCACCAGGGATTTGAAACAGCAAGGACTGATATCAATAATAAAGAAAAATATACAAACTAGATAAATCGAGAAATCCTAAAATAAAATCCTATATGATCAAAACCCATGTAGTCTATGTTATTTTTAAGTTCTCCCATAAAATATAATATTAAAGTCCTGAAGTGTATCAAAGCCTGGTTCTCTCAGGTCAAGTGTCAGAGTGTGATAGTATCTGACACTATCTCGTTACCCTGACACTCCTCCGTCGACTTCCACCACATCCAACGTTACTTTCATCTCTCGTTGTATTCTCTTTTTGTTTTACATATTTTTCTCAGGTTTTATACGCTCCTTATTGTAGTGATATTTTTCGACATAGATGATTGTTGCGATAATTTTCAATAGGCTTAAACGATAGTTATTTTGACTGAAAATATTTTTTGGCATCAATCATCATTTTCCCTATGAAATTCACCATTTAACGACTTATAGTTTTGATATGTGAGAGATTCTCTTAAAATGTATATGAGGACATAATTAAATATTTACATAAGTAATAGACACGTAATCGAACTAAAAGTTATCTTTATAATGAACCTCTTTTTAAATACATTTGTTTGTATCCGGTAGTTCGTCAATGTAATTGCATTTTCAGACATTATTATAATATGAGATGTTATCAGTGAGTGAGCAACTATCAATGAACTAAACGGAGTTGCACAATGAACAATAACTTTGGTTTTTTAGTGTGTGTATGTGTGTGTGTGTGTGTGTGTGTAAGGTGAGACGGTGATAAGGATCTACAAACATATCGTTTTTCGTTACCGGACAGATTGCTATCACACTCACACACACACACACACTTACAAACACACACACACCATCACAGAGGTGTGTGTGAACTATTTGTTGTACAATTATTAATATTATCTAATAGCTATTATATTTCAATTGAAATCCGAAGTTTTTCGTTTGTTACTTTGTGGTTTGTCATCTGATATTTTTGTCAGAGTTTATTATGTGGACTGCTAAATGGAGATGTTTATAAAAGAAACAGATATAACAGGACACATCGGAAGTTAGTTCGGAGACGAACATAGGAAGTGATTAACGGAATAACAAATTTATATAACATATACCTATATTAACGACGAAAGGAAAGACAATTTGGATTGGAAAGAGAGAAAGGAAAGATTGGAAATCTTCTTTTGTTTATATTAAATCATTGAAAGTTCCGTAGCTCATGCCCGAGTGTCATCATGTAGTACACACTAGTCACCCTGAAGCCTGGCGCTCTCCGTCCAATGGATGTGTCATTTGACGCCAACAAAAGAAGCTGTCTTTATTATTTCCCAAACACTGAATGAGATTATCTTTTATTTGGTCACCACCAAATGAAACATGATCATTTTATTATAACGATATTCGCTAGTTGTTTCCTCATTGTGCTCCTCGTGATCGCAAGATAAGGCTTTTGTGAGCGGCCTAATTGTGTCGCCCCTAACACATTTACTTCCAACAATATGAATGAGCTTTATCGTTATAAACTAATATCAAATGTTAAGTTTGGATGAAAAAATGTTACAACTATCGCTTGGAGATAGAAACGACATCACATTGGAATCATTGTGTCTCTATATTTTAAATTGATATTATTACCTTTTGATGATGATAGTAACAGTTCAAATCATTTGTCATTCCTACTGTTTTTTGCAAACGACGGGCGCGAATATTTCTACAAAATATTTTAGAAAACTATGTTTTATATTTATTCTATTATATGTGTGGTAACTTTCAGTAAACATCTAAGTTATCAAATTGTAATTGATTTGTTAATGAAGAGTCCACGTTGTGTTCAGTCGCCGGGCGGGTCCCTGCCCCTGGTCCCTACTCCCTCCTATAGTGAGACGTTCGTTACATTTCCATATCTTTGAGTCGCCGCACCAATTATTATAATTATGTTTGTTCCGTCTGTACATTAGAAAAGTTTTCACCTCCACGTGACCTTCAGACACGATCGTCGTATTCACGATAAATAATACAAAGAAATGATGAAGATTCGTGTAATTATAAAAATTAAAATATATTGTTAGTGACACCAAAACGGGCCAGTACATTTAAGTGAATTAAGAAAGTATGTAATAGTTTATGACGAAAACCGTAATCGTAAGTTGTAGACTGTGTATGTATGTCATATAGGCACATACATATAATATATATTGTCTCCATATATTATATATCCTGGTAGTCGATGTTTCTGTCGTCGTGTCCGTGTGTTCCCGCTGATGGCATGACTCGTTCGTTTAATCCCTCGTATTACAAATATAACGAAACAAGGAATGACTCTTTTATTATGTAAATCAATTTACTTAATACTCGTAGATCCGACGACGGCTCACGATTACCAAACAATATTTATTACGCCTTGTATTATTTAAAAACGTATATTTCTATGAATGGCAAGGATCAAATTAATATTATACTATTTTTTATCATGTATTTCACAACACTCGCTCGCCACCTGTCTCCGCTCGCGGTCCTAACAACAAAAGCTATATTTTCCGTCCAAAAGTAATAACTAAATTACACAATATGAATGTCAATAAAACATAATACGGTCGGCGTGTTTGAAGCGACCTGTATAATTTGGCGCTCGCTCGGTAGCACAATGCTTCCGCAGACTCATTCCTCAATTATGTCCGACACTCACGTTCCGACACCGCCGACACCGCTGACACCATTGTAACGGACCTGAAAACTCTCTATTACATTTATTAATGTCGGACACTCCCTTGTTTTCAATGTAAACTCTCGCACGAGTTTGACAATACAGCAATATGTTGAGTGACGCGTGATGTAACTTGCATATGTTTTCTCATATATTCTTAAGTTATTATTATAGTAAGTCTATTTTCGTACATATATCTAGTGTTCCTGCTTTCTTTCTTCACTATATTATAAATGTTTATTAATATGCCAGTTGATAGTTCGTCTTTGAAGGGACTGGACTGTTTTTTGGTCAAGTCGTCTCTCCCCTGTGTATCAAGTCTCTATCACATTGTTTATAATAAATTAATCATTTTCCTTAAAGGTCTATTAATTCCGTAGATATATGTTTTCGTTTATCGCGGATACAACGAGCATGTTTTGTGATTTTTCTGTTTTAGATTAGATTAGATATCAAATGAGTGATCGACTTGGAACGGCGACGTTCAGCTAAATATTTTTGAATAAACATTATGTAATAATATACAGTTAGCATAATATATTATATGTGCTATATAAGAAGGTAGTAAAACCTTACGTTTTATAGTAAATTCAATATACATCTTTTATATATAAGAGAAAGTCGTGATAGTTACGAGTACGAGGCTGTACGAGTTTGGATGAAAATTGGTAGACAGAAAGCTTAGAACAAGAAAAAAGACACAGGATACTTTTCTTTAGGATTAAAGAAATAAAAATAAGTTGATAAAATTCAAAATATTCTTGTTTACTGTCTTTTATGAGAAACAGAGTTCGTTCAATCAGCTTTACATTTCTATTTCTGAAAGAGGCAGACGAAGTCGCGGTCAAATACTAGTAGGTATGTAAGTAAATGAGGTATTGTTTTTATATTTTTAATTAATAATTTCCTCTTTCTTTCCGTGACTTCGTTCAAAAGAAGACTTGAGGAGAGCGTCTATAATTTCTTGTTCATTCATCCTTTAATCGTAAGAAAAAAAAACTACTTCTCCTAATCTGTGTTTTTACAACAACTATCGTTCGTCAAGTTATCTTTAAGTATTTATTAATCCACTTGTTTATGTAATTTTCTTCCGACTTCATTTAAGCCAGTGGAAAAATTTAGATTTTATTTACAGTATACACCTAGTATTAGAGATAAAAATAAAATATGGAAAGTTCTCAAATCATTAGATTGAAAACCACGTATGATTTGATAAGAAGGAAATTCCCCGACGATAAAATAGGTACGTGCAACGAAAACTACAGTAAGGGAGACGAAGTCTTTATATGCACTAGTATTGATTGTTTGGTCATTGTTAAACTGAAACTAATGATAGAAAAATAAATTGATTTAAATTTCAATCTTCACTAATTATGATTCAGTTATTATTAAGAAATTAAGGTTAATTTGACTGACAAAATCTTGAACAGACAATAAATATAAGTATTTGTAATTAAGCCTAATTATTATTTATTACTAGTTTTTGCCCGCGACTTCGTCCGCGTTAATTTCATCATCTTCTTCTTCTATATATATAAAAATGGATTGCTGTTCCTTAGTCTCGCTAAAACTCGAGAACAGCTGAACGGATTTATCTTATCTTAGGTTTGAAATGTTTGTGGAGGTTCAGGGAAGGTATAAAAGCTGAAAAAAATTGATTCACTACTGGGAAAACCATAAAAACAGCCCTTTTCTATTTCCCATACAAACGTTTTTTTTGACATTAGATTTGACAACTAATATGTCAATCATTCTGTCGCACTTCAAAACACGCAGATTTATGGCTTACAGGTAAACTCCAAAAATATAAATAAAAAAAACGTAACAGATACTTCTTGATTATAGGGCGATACGAAGTTCGCCAGGTCTGCTAGTTAGTAATATATGTATAGCTGACCGGGCGAACTCTGTTCCGTCCTAGAGGCCATAAATAATTAGGTTTTTCCTGTATCAATCGAACAGAATGATTGACATATTAGTTAGTTGTCAAATCTAATGTCAAAGAAAACATTTGTATGGGAAATAGAAAAGGGCTGTTTTTAGGGTTTTCCCGAAAATGAATCAATTTTTCTCACCTTTTATACCTTCCCTGAACCTCCACGAACATTTCAAGACTAAAATAAGATAAATCCGTTCAGCCGTTCTCAAGTTTTAGCGAGACTAAGGAACAGCAATCCATTTTTATATATATAGAAGATAGTGTATTATGTAAGTTCTAGATCATTATATTTCAGTCTGTCGTTGGAAAAAACTTATAAACAGTCACACATGTTATCATCTGTAATACAAGTTATTTTTGATTAAAGTATTAAATATATAAATAGCAGTTATCATATTTTTTTAATTTATTATGTATT